TATACTAGTCACGTGACCTCCGCTGACGCAACAATAACTATATTCTTTATATGAAAAGAATCGAAGAAGCTTCATGATATGAAACTTACGAGAAAACTATGTAACTTACAAGGTAATTTAGTGTGTTTGTTATCCAATTTCCATGAGTCTTTCTTGTTCATTAGTCAATATCTTCCACATGTCATTATATATATATATTCATCATAAGGCTTTAGATATTGCAGTACAAAGGTACAATTAATAAGGAAGCTATATTGGGCCAACCCAACATGTTCTATAAATGTCTATTAAACGACTAATACTTTAAAAACTCTGCTTCACAAAAAATTTAGTTCCCAAACATACTGTAGTATTACATGTCTAAATCATATGAGGAAACAAAATATCTTGATGAATGGAAATGTGTGTTAATTTATTCCAACAGCATTCATTCGATGAAACTATGACTGGCGAAATAAAGAAACCTGTATCACACGCCTATAAGTTTATTAAACATTGACAAAAAAAAATCAAACACAAGAATGGCACACACTGCAGTTAGCTCAACTTCCGTTTGAACTTAATTAATTAGATACACTAAGACTGTTATCGTATTACCATTACATGACTTCAGTATGTGTCAAAAGTCGCATATCATATGCCAGTGTGGTTAACAAATTTCTGTTTAGTTTTCAGGTTGGCGATAGTTATAATAACACATACAACGTGTTTTAATCATTATTGTAATTCTGTGGTGGCAGTTGCAACAGCTTATGATGGAAGACATTTCCAACATCTTGAGACGGAACAAGGCAATTTGAAAAAGGTGTAAAATATTGGCTGTAAACTATGGTCAATGTAGGATCCTATCTGAAGTGTGCTGTTTAATATATTCTTGGTATTTCTTACATATGTTCGCCATTTCAATAGGTGCTTCTGAAATAGCTTTTCGTATATTAACTTAATATCGTTACCGTCGATATGGGAAAAAATGTAATAATAAATAAACATGCTAACATTGGAAATCGATGCAAAACATATCGACATATCGTCAGTTTAAGCGATAGCCTTAATACAACGTTTAGTATTTTGCCATTCAGAATCCAGTTTTTTATTAAACTGTTCGCTTCATTTCGAAGTTTTATAAAATTGTTAACGAGCTCAAAACACTAATTTAGAACGACATAGTCAATGGACTGTGAAATTCAAATTTACTTGATATGTTTCATTTTCTGCTATTTTTAGTATTGAATTGCAAGCACTTGTAGATAAATTCAACACTGTAACAACAATTTCATAATTCCAGTACAGTTGTGTAAAAATCCTTAATAATTTTTTCGCATATAAAATGCTTACAAAAAGTAAATGGTGATTAATATCCAACTGTGTTTATTTGTGATAGCATTTACTTTTATGGAAACCGCTTGCAAGCTATGTATGTTTGTTTGATTTTTAGCACTGTGCCAGTTTTTTGCATTAGATATATTTGTTACCTAAAAGCTAAATATTTTGAAAATTGTATAATTTCGTTTTTAATTTGTTTGCGCATAGGAAAACACTTCCTTGTTGCAGACAGGTAAGCCTAATTTTTCTTTGTGTTGTGTATTTTATAAGTATCACCTTCGACTGAAATTATTTTGCCCAACCTAGATAAGACTGTAAAGACATTTGTATGTATAGAGGTTCTATCCCAAGATTTCAAGTGTTGTACAGGGTGTCTCAGAAGTTTGGACCCATAGGGAAAAAGACACAATTTATTCTTAATTTAATCATTATTTAAGTTGCATGCCATTAACAGTCATACACATATACGTTCTTGGTATAAAGTGCCATCAGGGTATTTTCTTTCCTGAAATAAGTACAACTGACTTTAGAAATGTGTTTGTTTAACTTTAAGAATATCATGTCTATTTTCCTTATGGGTCTAGACTTGTGGGACGCCCTGTATATTGTGTAATAAAATTATACTTCCAGGTTTATTCCATTTAAGTCCACATTATTTGAATATGAGCTTTAACATTTTAGCTGCAGAAGGACATTTTTGAAAATGTTGTAAGAAGAGCTAGCGAATAAGGTTATAAGTTTGCGATAAATGAATATAATTTTACTGAATCAATCACTCCAACATTTAAATTTGGAAAGGACACTCAAACCTTACGATCATACACCGTGGCTCATGAAATACATGTATCAAGACTCAAGGTTTAGCTTGTAATGTGTGCTTGTAGATTATAAAATCATATGTCTTGTTAATTTCCATTTCATACACAAATGTCTCTTCATTACTAAACTTAAGGGACCAGCCAGGTTTACATAGTTCAGGGATTTGCTTCCTTTCCACATCTCACAGTTAATATGCTTCCTCTAACTGTGTAACACCCTCTTCAGCGGGGAGCCTGAAGGGAGTGCCAACAACAAAAGTGCTTTAGAGACATGAAAAAGGCAGATTTCGTCTTTAATATCAGATTTATGACCAACTTGCACATCTGCGAGGGGTTTATGGCTCATTAGAGGGGGGAAAGTGGAAAATGGAGATAAAAGCTTCCTCCTTAGGAGCTGAAAGAGCCACGGTTAGTATAACGTAGTTTGAACCTGCAGGCTGAATAAGGTTTAATCTGCTTTGTGTCCCTTCCTTTTCTTTGTTAATGACAGTAGTATGTGGCTAAGTCTGTAAATGTAAGAGTTTTAGGGGCTGTTAGGGTAGGTAAACAAAAACCAAGTGTACAGGTACTTGATTTCACGTTATTTGGGGAGAAAAATTGTATTTATTGTTTTAAGTATAGAAACATGTATAGTGTTCTCACGATACTTATACATGATATAAAAAACATATAGAAACATCACAGTATTTGTTAATATCACCAAATTCTTATTTTCCCTCACAGTGGTTCGTGTTTAAGTCTTTGAATGAATCTGAAATGGAAAAATGTTGGTGGATAATTTTTTAGTTAAGAGTGGTCTAACCAAAACATAGCAACTGTCATAGGCGGCAGAACCGGGGAGGGCGAAGCTATCTATATGTGTATATAAATCGTCAGGGGTTATATGTACGTGTAGGACTTACACCTCATCTCTATTCTCCCTATTTTGAAATTCATTCTGCCACATATAATTGTAACAAAAATTATAAAATCTGTGACTGAGACGAACTAAAATTAGTTCCTATGTTTGTACTGACTTTATGTTTCCAATAAAATTTAGAAAATGTCATTAGGAAATAGCATATTATTATTATTACACTCTTTGTAGTGTATTTCAAGTAATTCGTCCATAACTTGTAAGTTTCTTACATTTTGAAAAATATAGAAACATTACATAAATAAATTAATGTTCGATAGGTTCGTCATTACTTTAGTAACAACGTGAAGTATTAGTAAAGAACTTTTCAACAACCTTCCTTCAGGATATTACGAACCTCCTGTTGAATAATGTCGTAAAGTCCCCCCAAAAAATGTTGAGCTTACGAAGCCATTTTTGTTTTACGCTTTAACGTATTTGTTTTCTTTTCCAAGCATAATTACTTAGACATGTATGTATACTGGTGTATAATATGCATTATTTGTGCCTTCTTACGTTTCGTGTTTCCCATACTTCTTGCTGAATAAGACATGCCAATATACTAGATGTGACGAACTATTGGATAGGAATAAACAAAATACTTTGTAGAACGTTTGAATGCCTCTTCATAAAGAGGCATTTTCCCAACACATCCCCATTTTTGTAACAAATTAACGAGGACACTTTGCATAATGTAATAATAACCTTATACATAAAAACAAAACTTAGGTCAATCACTCCCTCCAGTTAGGGGCCACAGTGCTTGGTTCACATTTTCAAGATTATCCCTATGTAGGGAGTTACATATTTTCTAACCTCCTCACGCCCATTCAGGGCGTGTTGAGCTTTGTGTCTATCTAAAGATTTGTATGGGTTTATATACCCACAATGTAGGGGGTTATGTATTTTAAACCCCTAGGCATTGGGAATTGAGATTTCAACTCATTCACCACAGGGATATAGTCCCCAGTTTTCAATATCGCAATAACATCAATGGTTCGCAACCCCTTTTTAAAGATTTTTACAGCATTTCACACCCGAATTTTATCCGTAAAAAGCACCCCTTTCCCCAAGATATTTGAAACGTGCTTGCGGCCCTCTTTGCCAACTGATTGAATGATCCCGGAAGCAAGACAGGAATAACAATATAAACAACAACCTCTACTAAAGTCTATAGGGTAACCACAATTTGTCGTTATTATTAACAGTTGCGTTCATTAATTACATCATTATAATATAAACTATTCCAAGTTTTATTACATCAATAAATGATTAACTGATAGTTGTAAAAATGTTTATCATTTTCATGGTCATTGTTTCCGAAAAGTTTTTTTATCGTGCTTGTTTGTTTTAGCGCAAAGCTAGCATTAGGTTATATGCACTCTTTCCACCGCGGGGGGAATCAAACCCCGGATTTTAGATTTATAACTTCTTAAACTTATCGTTAACCCTACTGAGTGGATTTTTTTTCATCTTTCAAGCAATGCCTCAGGAAAATTAAGTTTCTGTGCAAGTGTTAAAATACTCATTAGTGTAAAATAGTTCATGGTCATCTAATGGATCATAATGATAATTCTTAACTTATGGATTTGTTTTGAGGGTTTCAATATTTGAATACCCAGATTGGCTCATTAGTAAGCTTGAGTGCCTATAATGCTAAAATTCATAGATCGATCCTTGCAGTGGCCACAATGCAAATAGCTGTTGTGCAGCTTTTACCATAGCAACAAACTAATACCTCTAACTTTCAAAGTATTATAATTCATAAATGTGAGCTATGGTTATACCTTAAGCTGTCGTGATGATTTTGAAATGTATGTTTATATTTCAGATGCAAATTTGCCCCTGAGTTTTGATGAAGAACCATCGTCAGTCATGATGGAATCTGGCAACAAACGGGCAGTTTTTCGTTGTTCAGTGAACCAACCAAATGCAGACATCAGATGGCTATGGAACGGAGGGCATGTAGAACAATCTAAACCTTATCATTTAAGGCTGAGAACAAGGCGACAGAAACTTATTGTTAGACTTCTCAGAAATGAAAAACATAGTTCTCATAACAACCATAGGCATTCGTCACAACCACCTGAGAGTGATCAGTTTCAATGTATTGCATATCACCAAGGGATGGCATTGGTCAGTAGGCCAGCAAGGCTTATTGTGGGAGGTATGTATTATTTTTCTGTTATCTGTGCACTGTAATGGCCTGGTGGTTCAAATCCCTACTGCCAAACATGTTTGCCCTTTCAGTGGTCGGGGCATTATAATGTGATGGTTAATCCATTAATCATTAGTAAAAGAGTAGCCCAAGAGTTGTCAGTGGATGATGTTAGCTCGCTGCCCTCCCTCTAGTCTTTCATGGCTAAATTAGGGATGGGTAGCTGGAGAGGAGATGTGCACTACCAGGTAAATCTGCCCGAGAATTACTGATGATGCATCATCATCAAAGGTACTCCAACCTCAAACAGTCTTAAGCAGCCTTGGGACTAAAAAAAAAGTAGTGCAACAAATTGTTCATTTTTTTTTTAGTTATGACCCTATTCATTTTTCCAAAGTATGTAATACTTATGCATACAGTAGCCTTGATCTAAATCAGAACTAGGTGTATTACCTTTGTAGTTTATTATTGAAGCAATTTTTCATTGTTATTTTAACATAGAGTTATATTTTTTAATTGTACATAACTGTGACCTTTATATTCTATCTTTTTTAGAAATTTAAATTGAGATACTAAAATATTTTCAACCAGATTATTTCTTGGTAAAAATTATATAGACTTATGGAGTGGATTTTCTGAAGGTGTATGTAAATTATTTTACGTTTTTATTTATTAAATTACAGTTGTAAAGGACTGCATTCAGTTTGAGATATTAAAAATAAATATGGAACCCAGTCTATCATTTATTTCACCACATGTTACTGAGTTGGAGTGGTTTGAATTTACTCTTGGCCAGGGTTACTGATGAGGGTTGGAGTTTGTCAAAACTGATATAATTTAGTGACAAGTGGTGAAAAGTTCAGTTGGTTACAAAATGTATGTAGAAGAAAGCTAATGCCACAGTTTTATAATATTCCAAAAGGTTAAAAACATTTTCACTTAAACTGTGAAAAATAGAAATTAAAGTTTAGAAAAAATGAATACTAAAGGTTTAGAAAGTTTAAACAAATGCTATGCTCTAATTGATTATTTTTGTTTTTCACAGAGCTGCAACCTTTTCCACCAGCAAAGGATGTTAAACTCTCTGTTGTAGCTGGAAATACAGCTGTAATCCCCTGTAATCCTCCTTATGGAAATCCCCAGGTTGTCACAGAGTTCACCTTCAATGACACAAAAATTGATCATTCAGGTGATAAGAAGTAATTACTCATTAAATAATATTTTGTTCCTAAAATGACTATAGGAACACTTCATAGCAGTCATAATAGTGGTAAAATGTTTCAGTTAAGGTTTTACTAGGTTCACATGAAAAGTATCCAAATGTAATAAAAAATTGTGTTATACTTGAAAAAATTAAAAAATCAAACAAGCATAGTACCAAAATCATAAATAATGTTGAACATTATTTGTGATTTTAACTTTATACACAAGTGCCAAAATACTATAATGATAAGCATAGTACCATTTACCAGTTTTATTAATCATGTAAATTCTACCAGTAATTTGGTATGGGTAAAAAAAATGTTGGTTTATGATAAACATAACATTCATATATTTCAAATAGAATTTCTTTGTAATTAACTTTCCTCAATGTTGAAATATTCTTTGCACCACTAATTTAATTTTAGGATATAAACTGGCATCTAATAATAATATCTAATTTTTCTTTAATCATAGAATTAGTCAGAAAAAAACTATTAACTCTGTCACAATCACAGTTGTTCTATATTCCACCTTTTAGCTATTAGAAAGAAATATCAAGAAACTTAAAAATTCTACTAAATCTGTCACAGCTACATGCTGTTACAGACTTGCATCATTTTGTTTCTGTGTTTTAAAGAAATATTAAGAAGTGAAAAGCCCTGTCAATTCTATAACAACCATACATAATATCATAGTAACCTTTTCGAAGTACTAGAGGAAGTGACTAATAACAAAATGAAAATGTAAAGTCTGTAATTTGCTCTTTTTTTTTTAATTCAACAGCTAAATACCAACGACAACCATCAGGTGACTTACAAATATTCAATACTCGGTTATCTGACACTGGGATTTACAGATGTTCAGCATATAATCCACTTACAGAGCAACAAGTACAAGCCCAGCATAAAGTATTGCTTACTGTAACAAGTATGTTTCTCTTTAATAGTTTAGAATCATCACTAAGATAATTACTTAAAAGTGTGTAATTGACAATGTTAAAGTTATAAAACTAATGTCAAATTGTAAAAGAGTCAACATTATGTTTACTGCAGAAATACAAAGATATAGTTAAAATTGCTGTAAAGGAAGAATAATTAATGGTCAATGTTTCAGCCAAATGACCTGCTGAAGGTCATTTGACAAAAAAATAACAGGTGCTTGTTTAATTATTTTCCCCTTACAGTGATCTTAATCATTTTTTTTTTGTATTTTTAAATTTTGTTATGCTGTAGTTGCACTTGCTCATTATTCATGTTTCTTTTCAATGTTTCTTGTAAATATACAGATTTAATTTTCACCGTATCATAACAAAATTCCTTTTCTAATGATGTTAGTCATGCTGTATTAAGTGTTTGGCCATAACTAAGTTATACAGTTATTAGATAAATAATGAAATGTTCGGTTGTTCACATTCCATTTATCATAGGAAATCAGAATATTACATATTCTTTTTTTATCTCATACAGACAATAGATCTTCTATTCCACCTAGCTTTACTGTAGCTCCAAATGTAACTGTGAGTGTAGTGATGGGAAGTAATGTAACCTTGGAATGTGTAGCTACTGGAGTACCACCACCAAATATAACATGGTTGAAAAAAGGTAGTCAGCTTCATAAACGACAGCATTCACAAATAGGAGGTATGTTAAATGTATGGGTTATTTCAATTCAAAAATTTTTTTAAAGTATTGATTTTTGTTTTAAAAAACTATATTTAAAACAAAACCTTTGAGGTATCTTTAACTCATTGATTAGGCTGTAAAATATACATAGTTTTTCTAACTTACCATGGAATTAAACTATATTAAAGTGTCTGAACTACTTTTGAAAATGCAATAAGGGTTTTTTTCATGTCAGGGTGACTCTTTATACTTAGATGAACTTTAATAATATTCTCTGCCTCTGTGCTTTTTTTATGTAGTTCATGACAATGCACATAGCAAGTAAGGCACTTTGAACAAGAATATTTACTAATTTAGTCATTGTTATTATCTTTGCAATTTATATTCTAAAATTAATCAAAACCACATAATTTTCTTGTGTCACCACTTTACAAAAGATCTTTGATAATACCATTTAGTATTTTGGATGCTGCATATTATATTAACTTTGAAAGTAGTTTGATAACTTACCTAACAATGGGGAAATTGCCAAGGTAAGTTCTTTTGACATTATTTAAAAGGTCAAAATTGGCATGGTGAAAGACAGCATAGGGTAATAATGTGTGAATAAATGGATGAACATGATTTGTTTGGTTATTCAGGAGCATTTGTGATAGAAACCACATGATTGTAATGAATAGATGAACATAAACTGTTTGTTTGCTCAGGTCTTTTGTGGTAAAAAGTAGAGGGAGATAATAAATTGATAAGATGACTAGTGTGATTACTAGGAAGTCTACAGAAAATGGTAATGAATAGATAAACATGACTAGTTTTTTACCCAGAAGTCTTTGTGTTAGATAATGAAGATTCTAGAATGCCACAATTTAAAATACTTTGACTTATGTTATGTATAATAAAAATGCCCTTGTGGAAAAAGGAATTTTTCAATTGTCAAACACGATAATTAAAGATTGGTGATTAAACAGAGCAGAGGGTAGTAATAAATGAATGACTAATAGAGTTACTTAGAAATCTATTGTGGTAAAAAGCACAGAAAGGTAATAAATTGATGTAGTTGATTAGTGTGATTACTCACAAGTCTGCTGTGGTTGAAAGCAGAAGATAGAATTAAACATGACTATTGTTCTGTTGTTGTAGAAAGTATAACTTGTTTATAAATGAATAAGCATGACTAGTGGTGGTCACTCAGGAGTTCTGTGTGGGATATTTATTATCTGTTATTTACATAAATGGTATTAATAGCAACAATGGTTCTTTAAATTACTGGATATGCTAATTTTCTGGAAAGAGTTGATACTGAACAGGGTGTTCTAAGACACAGAAGGATCTCATGAGGTTTAATGAGTAATCAACTAAATAGAAAAGTGATTATCCTCACCTAATGGTGGGGTGTTTTTTGCATCTGTGTATATGTGGGTATAAACTGTTTAACTTGAATATTTTTCATCTGATTTTAGTCAAATATGGTACAAAGTTTGAGTTTCCAAAGGGTCAATTTTTTATTTTTGGTGAACATGTCTCAAAGACCAAGGTCACACTGAAGGACAATAATTTTCATTATAATGGTAGCAAATTAGAATTTTGAAAAATGATAAAATTTCAATACTAAATTTTAATATATATTAGGATCTTGGCACCTAGACCAATATTTTTGAGGGTAAAGAATTGTTTGTTGGATATTTTAAGTTAGTTATTGTAAAACTCAAAAACATCATATACCCTTTAGATATTAGTGCAAAATCATACACTTTTTTTGTGTGTGAGGAGAGATTTGTATGTAAAAAAGATACTGTTATGTGGGTTAATGTTTATTGTTGATTACTTTAGCAGTTTGTGGTGACCTTGGTAGGTTTAAATGGCCTTTTGTTTTGTTTTTTGTCACTTTTGTAATCTCAATTGTTGAAGAACTATTAAAGATTATTTAATTTTTGTCTATTTCAAGCATAGTAAGAGTGAAATTAAAGTGGAAGTTGGTGTTATCTGTTTCAAAAGTTCAAATTTTTTCTTGTAGGTAATTTGTTATTGGCAGCTGTGAGAAGAGAAGATGAAGGAATGTATATGTGTGTGGCATCTAATGGCATTGGATCAGAGGTAGTTCGGTCCACAACTTTAGAGGTTCAAGGTTGGTTTCAGTCTGTAAAATTTATAAATAACACAATCCTAAGTACTAGTGTCTTTTATAATATGACTAATTACTTGCATCATAGTATTCTACAATACTTCCTTCTATTCTATAGAAAGTGACTATATTTAGAAATTCTCTAAAGTTAAATTTTAATATTTAATGGGAAAATAATGCTTCAGTTAGTACATTTTATCTGAAACATAAGGATTTTGTTTTAAAAAACGAGTATATTTTTCTTTGAATAATAAGGAAATTGATTATTTGATTTCTCATTAAATTTTAAAAAATCAGTCAAAACAAAAATTAACAACCTTTTATTTTACACAAGTTAAATCTACTTCTCAAATCCTTATTTTTTTTTCTCAGTTAATTACCATGAAGCATTAGGTAGAAAATTTCGTTCAAGATCATGATCACTTGGTATAAATAAAGTTTTTGCAAACTAAATTTGATTATATCTAAAGTTTTCTTGTTTTTTTTGTAAAGCATCTCAACTTCATTATATATACATCATTGGTTAGACCACATATGAAGTATTGCATTCAGTCATAGATTCCTTACCTGAGGATGAACATTGAATTGTTGGGAAGGGTTCAGAGGAGGGCTACTAGGATGGAAAGGTTGCCATATGAGGGCAGGTTAAGATCTCTGTAACTGTTTTCTCTTGAAAAAAAAAGATTTGAAGGGATCTTAATGAGGTGTTTAAGATTGTTAAGGGAATTGATAGTATTGATGTATAATCTTTTTCATACTTAGTTATGAAAATAGTAAGACAAGGGGACACTCGTATAAATTTTGGCAGGGTAGGAGTCATCTTCAGCTGTTGGCCTTTATAATGGGTTGTCTGCAGCTGTGATAGATGCAGTTAATTTAAGGGAGTTTAAGGGAAGGCTTCATAAACATTTCAATGACAATGGCTGGCTTTGAGTATTTTTATTTTTATTTTATAGTTTAGTTTAGTGGATGGGACAGCCTAGATCCCTTATTGTCCTTAAGTTTTATTTATATAGCATAAGTTAACCTATTGACTGGTACATATTCTAAATCTTGCCAAGTTATCAAGCTTTTCATGAAAAATTACCAGCTTAATTTCAAAGTTTTCCTCCTCTCACTTAATTTGTTACTTTTAAAATTTCTTCACATGGATTCATAATTTCGCTTTTTTTTAAATAAACTTTTACTTTTTTTCTAGGCTTATTCGTAATCTGAGAGTTTCTTTTACTCAAAATTATCTTCAATTTCTATGGATATTACTCAGATTAGAAACCTCTGGAAAATTATGAGCGTTAGTAGTAATTATTATTAGGATATTTTATTGTTTGTAGTTTATTTAAAAATCAGAGGATGCTCAGAAGAATGGCAGTAATTATAAATATTATTTAGTAATATTTTTGTTGTTCACTTTGTTTTTGAAGATCATACACATGATTTTCCAAACAAACTAGGGATAAGAAGAATATTAATTTAGTAATATTTGTCTTGACCTTTTTTTTAAGACTTCCATTATCATTGAACATTCAAAAGATTGAGAATGGTAATAGTTTTTTGTTGTTTATCTTTGTATGTATGCTTTTCAGAGGTTCCCCAAATCATAAAGTTCTCAGAGGATAGAGAAATAGAAGAAGGAAAATCATTAACCTTGCAATGCATTACGAAAGGACAACCAAAACCTGCAATTCATTGGTTTCACAATGGAATAAAAATTGTTAAGGGACCTTGGATAATACTTAAAAGTTAGTGTTTGAACATTAAGGAGTAGCTATAAATAATCATTACATTTGTAGTAGTCATTCCTGAATGTCTGTTTCTGTGAACAAATTAACACTTGTATGATAAAAGTTTACAGGGTATTAGGTCTTTGTGAGCCATTAATTTAATGTAAGGTAGTAATTGGAAATGTTAGCATCAGCTCATGCAGTTATAAAGAATGCTCAAATAGTAAAATTATATCATTTCACTAAAGTTTGATAAAAGCTATGCAGTCTAAGATATTTATGAAAATTATTTAGTTAGTTTATATAGCACTAATAGAAATAGTGTATTATTGAATATTATTATTGAAATTAGCAAGATATTAAAGATAATTGACCTATTTCTTCTGATATCAGGAAGTGAGATAAATAGAATTGTAATATATCCAATGATATATTCAGAAAAAAAAATCAAAAAATATTTTTCTACAAATCTATTCTTAATTTATTGAGAATGTTTTAATAAATGATCTACATTCTTAGCTTTAGTATGTCAGGAGTTTGAAAAACAATGATAAACCAAGTGTCTAGTAATCAACACAGTTTGCTATAAACCCAGTACAGAGTGAAGATTCTCATAAACCTAGTCAGCTACATTGTTTTTCTTAAATTTTACATAATGAATTATATATATGTATATGTGAGAAAAAATAACGTTTCGGGTGGGCTGTCTTTAATATATTTTAAGATAGGCAGGTGACATAAAGTTGTTAAAAAATTGTTAAGTCCAACAAAATTATGAAGTGAAGTTTAACTTCTTTTTTATAGTACTTGAAGGAAATCTCTTGCAAAGCAAACATGATTCTAAACTAGGCCTACTTTCGTTTTGAAAAATTCTGTGCTAAGCCTCAAAGGTTTAGCAGCTTCCTAACAATATTTGAAATATCTGTGGGTTTTCACTTCACCATATAGTAACCTAAATTAATTTAGGTATATGAATAATGTTATGATATTTTATCAAATTCATTATTCAATATTATACAGTGGACCAAGTGTTTAATATTTGGAACATTTAATGCTAACACACTGCAAAGATTATAGGCTCCTTTTTTACAATCTAATATTTTTAAATTACAGAAACATGTACTGATATTTACATTTAAAACAACAGTGTCTTTTAATGTTGTCAGAGAGAAATATTTTATACATTCATGATTTAAATCATCACTGCATAAAATTGTAAATAGTTATAATAATCAATGGTAAGATAATTTATATGCTTATTGTGTGAAATACACATGTGCTTGTTTTATAATTGAAACAACAACCAGTTACCACCATGTATAGCATTAGATCTCTATTATTTCAACTTGATTGATCTGCTTCTATACCCATGAAGTCTGCCTTGAAGGTTTAAGCATTTGTTTATTTTTAAAGATGACATATTGATAGTCAAGAGGACATCTCAGAAGCATTCAGGAATTTACCAGTGTTTTGCAACTAATCAACTGGACACAACTTGGGCTTCTTGTGTTGTGACTGTTATAATGGGAAATGGAACCACATCACACTATGATGCATTTTATGGTGTGTTTTTCTATTTTTTTTATATAACAATAATTAGTTTTTATACTTATGAAAAAATTATCTGTATTTATTATTGAAGAATTAGATAACCTTTTACATAAAAAGTGTCTGTGTTTGGAAATCAGAGAAAATTATATTCACTAGAGGCATATGAAAAAAAAAGATTTGAGGTTCTATGTTGAACAATAAATTAAGAGATAGTATAAAAATAATGAAATTTACACATTCATGACCTTCAAATTGTAGCATAAGTAAATGTTATAAAATATTCCACATTGCACTTTTGAGCATTCCTGAGCCTGGAAAGTGTCTGCCCTTTAAACCATTACTGAGTTCATCACAATTTGAACACACATTTTCAAAACTTATTCATCTGTTCCTATTTGTTTTACTATTTTTAAAGCTATAGTATATTTGTTTATTGTTGAATTTTGTGCAAAGCTACAAAGGCTCTCTATACTAGCTATCCAAAATTTTGAAGTGATACACTAGAGAGAAGACAACTATTCTACCCCACCTACACCCAACTCTAGGGATACTCTTTTCCAATGAACAGCAGAATTGACTACAATATAACCCCTTTATTTAACTATTTTACATAAAACTGGATTCATTCTTACTAAATCTGAAAAAACAACAACTTTAATTTAGTTTTGTGTGATAAAACAATTTATATGATATACCTTCATCTTTATAACACATAGGCCTGATGGTATGGAAGCTTCTCTCACAATCTACTGGTTACAGGATCAAAACCGTTTACCAACTGTGCTCACTTATTTCAGCTCAAAATGCAAATAGCTTATTGTGTATTTTTATGCTAAAAACAGATTTAAAATTGCCTCTAATTTAATATATTTTGAAATGTACATTTATACCTTTTTTATCATTGAAACAAAAATCAAGCATTAAACCTTTGTAACTAATGATATGCATTTACTTTTAATGAATAATTTTGAAAGGTTTTAACACCTCACTTGAAATTTTGATAAAGAAGAAATTTCTCCATACATTATCCCCTACTACCTCATATCCAACTTATTTTAATTTTTTTAAACAAATGGAACCATAAAAAATCTTTAACATAAATGTACTTCCTCACCAAATATTCATACCTTCTGACAAACCAAATTTTCTTTCTAAGTTTTCAGTACCATCTTCTTCATCATCACTATAACTTGGGAAATGGCCTTCAGTACTGTCAGCATATGAGTCTGTGGAAAGGTAACATAAAATTTACGTTAATTTTGAAACAATTGTGTATATTAATGAAAATCTGTGGAGTTTTTGAAGTATTCCCTATGGTGGATACTTTTAATGATATTTAGAGTATGGTATAAAATATTTTGGGAGTATTTTTTAATTTCAGCAAGTGCTTTCTGTATTTCCATTGCTTAACAAAATTTGTGCAAACTTTAAAAGTTAAATCATGTAATTTATTACTTTGGAAATTTAAATAATTTTATTTTACATATGTAACCTTGTAAGATGTTATTTACTTTCTTGTGGTTTTATTGGATTAAATACCTTAGTTTAACTTTAAGCTATATGCTTTTGCTATATACATAGGAAGAACCAGGTAATTAAGTCTCATTGAAAAAATATGTTAAGAAAGAAAAAGATTAGAAAACACTGGTTCTAAAAATTGACATTTTTAAAAACAACTGACATACATGAACTAGTTTTATTAGTTTGGAATATAACCCTTAAAATATTCAAATTTCAAGTACTGAAGTTAAAAAAAGCTATATTATCTCCTAGATTTGCTTTAGTAATCAAAAAATGTTTCATTGCACATCTTTGCAATGGTATAGTGCTAAATTTAGCTGTGAGAGGTTGCCACAAGCTCTATTATTCCCAACTCTTTTGACAGAACAGCTAATTATTTAAACCATAGGGTTTTGAGTCCATTTTACTTCACCATATTTAGGTTACTACGTAAATTAATAGAAATCTTTAACACATACATACAATAATTATCAAACAGTGTACTTAATATGGCTACCATGTTTACTACTAGATTATAAATCCAGAAAATCATTACTTGAGGTATTCTATTGTAAAGCCAGCAATATGCAAGGTCAGAGAGCTTTTAGCTAGTGATCAAAACTTCAGTTTATATAAAAAATTTCCATATTAGAGCATGATTACAATCTCATCAATCCACATTTGCTTTTATAAGAAAACAACACTGGAAATAACTTGCTTTTGAAGTATGGGAGCAACACTTCCTCAACACCTTGTAGGACTACAACACTGCATCTGTAGTATTCTCAGAGTTGGAGTAAACACACACACATCCATCTGATTACTACAGTAATGGAAGATTCATGGATTTAGTTGGCAAATGGATAAGTTTGATATAACTTTGCTGGAGAAATAATAGACACAGAACTGTGATGTAAAATGCAACATTTTATTGACATTCAGGATGAAACCAATAAACAATGGGCAAATCTGAAAGTGACTGATCCATTAACTGAATGTAAATGAATTTCAAATCAGGATGGACTAAAATAAAATAAGTTATGCTAATTAACTGAAAACTGAAAGTAATGTAGAACCAAATACACTTGGTTTTAATGGCAAAACTAAACTTTAATACAAATATAACTTCATGCAGTCAGCAAAGAGATTTTTAAATAATAGATTTATTTAAAGAATTGGGTCACAACCACTCTCACAATGCACATATCTCTATAGTAGGGTCATGTTTCTATCCCATATGATGGCACATACAACTGAATTGGCTCAAGCTATAGATGCTACAACCTAGAAATACATTTAGCACATGCATTTCAATGGATTTCCTAGTTCCAACCTAGAGCTCTGCAAACTTTAAAAAATGTGTTTCCAAAACTTAAATAAACTCTAAAGAGAGTTTTGTAAACAATATCTGATAGCTACCTATCACATGTTCATTAATTGGTTAAAATAATGTTGTTGTTTTCTTAACCAAATATTAGTTAGGTAAAGAAATTCACACTGAAAATATTTACCTAATATGTTGGTACTTTCTTTTATGCTTAACATAGTTATTTAATTAATAGGAAAGGTGGAAAAAACAAGAAAAGCTGCTTTAAAACAAGAATATTTATATTATTTCTTACTGTTTATATATATATATACCTATATGAAATATTTGTTTCCCAAACTTGTTAAGTTTCTAAAGTATTGATGAAAATATTATATTTTTTATAGTCATGCTGGTACCACCAAGCAAGCCAAATTTAACCCCTTTGTCAGATGACTCTGTAATGGTGCGATGGAATGTACCAAAGAATGATGGACTTCCTATCCTCTTTTTTAAAGTCCAGTACAAGGAATCTGGAGGCCATTGGATGACAGTTGATGAAGACATAGCACCTCACATTCATTCTTATGCAATAACAGAACTTCAGCCTGGTAAGTTTTGCTAGATGAGCAGACTTGTCTTTGTTGCTTCAGACAAACACTATTAATTACCTTAATCAAGTCACTGTCATTGTTTTACTATTCTCTTTGTTTTTTGATATTGGTTAGTGACATAACTGAAACCATGAACTTTGACTGATTTCTCTTAAAGTTACATCACTTTATGTTTTCTTTTCTGCAGTGTGTACTGTCTAATTGAGAAATAAATGGACTAAAGTTTGTAAACAAGAAAAATCATTTTTTATGAACAACAGCATTGTTTTAGTTATTATGTATCTGTAAATGTGCACCAACACACAATTTTGTATATTAATTCTCAATCAAGAAAAATATTTGTGAACAACATTTCTTTTATCTATAAAAAAATAGTTGTTAACCTAGTAAAAAGCATTTGTAACTTTCCTTTTTAAGTAGAACACTGACTATAAAGTTATTTCATAGATCAGATAACTTATTTATATGTAACATATAACTGATCTTAAATGAAATAAGTCTCAATAGCTAAAATTAGATATAATTTCCCTCTTAACTTTTATAAAATCACATCCAAATACTAAAGTTTCAACAATATTTTTTGTTTCATTTGTAAATTAGTATTCTGTAATGACAGTAAAATATAGTTTTTCATTTATTAACTGTATGGCAGGTGCCTCGTACAGGTTCAGGATAGCAGCAGTTTATTCAAATAATGATAATAAACATGGACCAAGTTCTTCATATACATTGTTGAAAGACCCTCCAATGAAAAAACCTGTTATTGGTCCCATTATAGTTCATGCTGAGGCTGAAAGTCCATCAGCCATCACAATACAGTGGCAGGTTAGTCTTTTTTCAATTTTTTCCTACTAAATAGTGAATTGATACAAAATGGACAGTAATAAACAAATGTTATTTAAATGTAAAATTCTCTTTCAGAAAATATTCTACTCTGCTTTTGGGAAAACTTGTATTTGATATTTTAGTAGTTATACATTCAGTACAGCTGCTACTGAAGGTTGTTAGAGAATGAATAGAGTAAAATTATGTGGAAAAAAATAATTGCTTCTCATACATGTTAACTGTTAATCTCTGACAGTAATACCTATTAGGTTAATAAAGCTATGATGATGATAATAATGGTCAGTTTTCTGATTTCATAAAAATATTACATTTCTTTAAATGTGTTTTAAATAGGCATTTATCTTCCACATCATATTTTGTTCTATATCTTAAATGAAGCTTGCATTCCTAGAAGTTTATTGATACAGTTTCACCATTACATGACATAACTAGTAATACAGTTAATCCAGATCAAATCACACTAACCTTTAAACCCATAGATCCACTTAGGAATGAAGTATACATCTGATTATAAGTTGAATCAGTCCACTTAAGAGGTAAATGAGGCTAAAAAGGAGTAATAATAATTCACTAGAATTCAAGATCAATTAAGAGGAAATTACCACTCACTACCAATTCAGTTAATATAAAGCCTCTTACCTGTGAGAAATTCTACAATGGTCTGCCATTAACCTCTTTGTAGCTGCAGATTCCATAATCGAGGAACCCTCTATGACAGCTTCATGGTATTCCACTTTGGCCCTTTTCTCAGCTAAATGGCAAGGAAAAAGAAAGATAGTCTAAAGAAATCTTGTCCAATAAGTTATAACAATACGAATATGTCCTAGGCTCACACCACTAAACATAGTAAAGCTCTTCAGAAGAAAACCTCAGATCACGGTGAAATCTGGAGACTCTTGTGCTATACATGACCCCAAACAGAACAGTTCATGATCTAGTAGTTATTCAATACTTCTCATCACTGACAGTTAAAACTCCATAGGAGAGTGAGGCCACAACAAAACTACCTATTACAGATTTTCTAATGCTGTAATGAAAATCAGCATAAAGCTAAAGTAGGTACTTCAATAACTATGCTGATTTTTTAAATATAAGGGTGAGATCAGGGAATAACTTTAGAGTAGTGATAAAACAACAAGATAATCAATTGGCAATGCAGTTAGGTAAAAGAAGGGTAAGTCAATGCTGAAAGTAGCTACACACAAATATGTGTTAGAGAATCACAATGTTTATTTGTATTTATTGTAGTGATTTAATAGTATGATTAGTTTGATGTTTTGACATCTCAATTAGACATACAGTGCCAAAGAGTAACTTCACTCTGAGAATAGATTACATTAAAAAAAACCTTGGAGCACCAGCAAGAAATTACTCTAACTTCATGCTAACTTCATTTGCCAAAGGTGTGGTTAATATTTGGTCATCTTGCATAACTTAATCATTGTTCAGACAGGTGAGAAATGTGTTAATGAGTACAATTGGATAAGCTAATAAAAACCCAAAACAAGTCATTTATGCTAACAAAAATGATGCAAAGTAACTTTTTTTTTTTACAAAAGGGCCTACAACTTACTAAAGTTCAGAAGCCTGAACTCATCTGATAAGTCCAGTAATATTCTTTACAGTGATACACAACTACCAACCCAAAAACAAAGCTAAAACACAATTTGAATTATCTCATAGCAGGATTCTACTAGTAACTTTGTTCACACGCACACACTTGGCACAAGAAGACACATGGATGTATGGGTACCAGGATGTGATTTTGTTAAACTGGTTGGTTTTTATATTTTCTGTAGATATAGTAATGTTTATTACGTTTACCCCAAAAGTGCACCCCATAAATAACATAGAAGTTTGAGCAAGTAAATGTTCTGCTTAAAGTATAAATCATAGAGCCATTTTAAAAGTAAAAAAGTGTTTAAAAGCAAGTTTGTGTATGCATGAATTTATTAGTTCTTAAGAAGTGTTAAAGTGGTTTTTCATTAAATTCCCAGGTCAGTGTTATCATTTTGCTGATAGCTAGAAAACATTATGTCTCATCAGTAACGGTGGCGTAATATGCATTACTTTTATTTAATTTTTGACAAAAGTTTACATATATGTAGTGAAAGAAAGGTAATATTTTTCTACTTCCAAATTGATACTTTGTCATTCCGGGTAAAGTGTGGTCTTACTTAATGAACTCGATTGTTTCATAGAGTGCTTTATAAAAGCTGTTTCATGTCTTTTTCCTCACTAAACATGAAAAAAAAATTGCTTGGACTTCATCTAGACAATCTACAAACTTATTGTTACATGTCATTTCTCAATGAATTTGTTTAGTATTTTTCATTCTCTTTGAACTATAAACCTGTTAAAATAATTTCTTCTTCTGTGTTATTATCTTCAGTACAGGGACATCGATGCTGTTCCCATTGAGGGCTACTTCATTCATTATCGTACAACACATAGTGCTGGAGACTACAACAAAGTAACTGCTTTAGGCTCAAACACTCGCTCGCATACCATCACCCACCTTTTACCAGACACCTCCTATGACATCAAGATGCAGTGTTTCAATGCTGCTGGAACTTCAGACTTCTCCAACATTCTTAATGCCAAAACCTCACGTCAGTTTCATTACTTATATTAGTTTTTGTTTTCATCAGTGATAGCTGGTCATTTGTTGAATTATATAGAATTTTATACCATTAGTATAAATATATTTATACTGGTCAGAGCTCGTATCTCTGAAGTCATTGTACAAATCATGGTGAATGCTTTATTCTGAAACAAAAAGCTTATTTATGAAAGGTCCTTTTACTTTTCAGTTCTTAATCTTTTTTTTCATCAAATGATCAGTTAAAATTTTTTTTAAATTAAAAACGGAAAACATGGACTAGTGGTGATAGTTGCATGGTTAATAGGAAACAGAGTTTGATTTTTTCCCCTCTAAAGATTGGTGAGTTTGGCCATTTTCCCACTAGATCAGAAAGTATAAGTTGCAAAAATTTTAATGCTCATGATTTGAATGTCTGAATTTAAATTTACAAAAGGTTTTTCAAAGTTACATTAATAGTATTTCATTAACTCATAAGTAAACAAAAAACAAGGTAGTGATTTCATGAAAAAGTCTCCCTGGGTTCGATTACACATAGTGAACATGGCAGATAGTCCAAAGTGGCTTTGCTTTAAAACAAACAAAAAAAACAAATAATAACATGAAAAACAGCCAGATATTTGGCTAAACAACCACCATGAACCTGAATTCAGAAAAGTATTTTAATCTAGAAACATATTCATATTATTTAAAAAATATGAGTGGCTAGTTTAATTAAATTAAAATTGTTTTTTACTGTAGGATCTCATTGATAATAATATCTGAAAGTCAGTACAGTGCAAGTTAGGTTATTTTATTTCTAAGTAAAAATTACCCTTATTTAAAATTTTTTATAATGATATATGTTTAAAATATGAAAACAGTTAAACTTGGAATAAAAACTTTTTTTTTTCTGTATGAGAAGTTTAATGCCATTAACTGTACACCTGTCAAAAGAAAATATTACTGTGTTTAGAGATTTTCTATAAACTTTATGTATATCTCAATAAAAGTATATCTATAAAGACAATAATTTTATGATGACTGATTTCTGTCTCTAAAGCAATTATCAAAACTTGAGTAATATTGATGGTTAAGCTTAACGAGAATTAATTTTTCTTATGGACTTGTATGATGAATAATGACAATCACAGCTGTAATGTGATTTTTCTTTCAAACTTTAGCCTCGGCTATATTAGATGCAACCACTGATGGTTACCCAGTAGGCCAAAATGGCAACAGAGGGAACTACAATGACAATGGAAATATTGAGGGAAGCCTGCAAGGAAATCAGTTGCTTTATCTGGTCCTGGGAATAGTCTTAGGAGTTATGTTACTGGTGCTGTTTGTATTTCTAGTTTTGTGCATCATCAAGCAGAGGCAACAGAGGAATCTTGCAAGTCCACCACTTTAACAAACTCATTAAATATAAAATAACTGACTTCACTGACTAACTAATCAATCAACTATCTCCTCTAGATTTGCTTAACTCATGTTTTGTATCTTTAAGTTGTTTCCTAAACTTTGACGAAAATTTTAGACATTAAGTTACATGCTCCTCACATGATTTCATCACTACCTCTGGCAAAATAACAATGCAAGCAACTAAATTAAAAACAAAGTCTATAACATGTGTAAAAATGTACATACCTTTAATGAGTTAGTCAGTTCATTTATTTAGTGCTGTAAATTTTGAGCTTGTGTTTTCAATGAAGTACTAGAGATATAAGAAGTACTGTATGTACAAAAAAATTAGTAAGTAAGTGGAATCTTTATTGAGGCATTATGTATTCTGTAGTTAGAGAAATAAAACACTTTTATTATCAGTAATAAGTAGACTGGAATTCACATCATTCCTTTTACCAAATAATCAAAAAAGAGCCTGCCCAACAATAAAAGTCATTACAACACTAATTTTAGGTCAGTTTCCTTTCTACATTATTAGTATTCTACTCATTTATTACAGTGTTATAATTATCCTGTAGCATTATAACATATCAGTTCAGTATGATGCATTTTTATAAAATTACAATTTTACACACTTCCTCTTGGCTACATGTATTCACTACTAGTATAAACATTAAATAAATATTGTAACAACTTCTCACATCTCAATAAAAAATTACTTAACTGTATATTTACTTTAAGGAAATTACCATTACTGACTAGGACTACATCTACTAAAAAAAGTTTGTATTGCATTTTAATAAACTCTGAATTTTTTCTAAAATAAAAAATAATGTTTATATCATTTAATATTATGTTTCACTTAGTCCCAAGGAAATGAAATATAAAACATCTAATAAAAAACTGTGCTTTCTACTTTATATTAGGTAACCATGTAGAAAGTCAGGGGAAGCCCACTTCAAATGGTCATGTGATTACTGGAAACGGCCACATCCCAGGTCATGAAAGAATTAATGTCAGTGTTAATCCTCTTTCAGAAATAAATACTGATGAATCTGGAAAATCCTTGGAAGTAAGTATTACCATAAAAAAATATCAACAAATCATCAATTGAATGTACAATTTGAATTTGGTATGGTGCTTAATTTAATTTAATCTTGACAAAAGAAAAATCTGTTCATTCAGAACATCTTCTCAGCCTTTCACTTTTTATTAAAAACAACTCATTTTACAATCACAGAAGACATACATTTGATATTTTTCACGTTTGAATTTATTTTTAACTATCCAAATACTCTTTGATTCCCTACTTCAAGAGTGGTACATAGTGAAGAATTAATCATATAACCAAAGAAATCTTAACCCTTTTGAGATGGGTCAGGGGTAAAATGCCATGTCATTCAAAAGTTTATTAAATTTTTATTTCATGAATTTATGTCAATAACTTTGGTATCAAACTGTAGATTATAATTCAAATTTTAGTACTATATATTACTCAATTTCTTAATTTAAAAGCAAATATTAAAAAATACAGATAAACATCGATTTCTGTGTGTTACGTGGCATGTTGAAAGTAGCTTTGGTTCAAATAAGATGTTTTTGAAGTCAAAACACTAAGTCTATAGTTTTGTACGAATTAGAAATTAAAATTACCGATATTTACAAGCTAGAATATAAATAAGAGCCTCTTATCTTTTGAATTTGCTAAGATATTGCTCGTGTAATAAATTGAAACCCTGCCCACCTCTTTCCATTTTTGGAAATGCTCACTTATATACACTTACTTCTATATATGACAGAATAACCAATCAGAAGCTCAGAATGTCCCCTAGTGGCTTTCTCAGCCATGTTAACAGGCTTGGCACCATTTCTTTCTTTTGAACGAATATTTCAACGAGGTAGGGTATGTCTTTAGTCTGCTTGAAATTTCATATTTTTTTAGACTAAAATACATCTTAGTTACTAAGCTTGATAAATTTTAATGAAATTCTATGGTATTAATGTAGTAATTTATGATTTTTTAGTTATTCAACTGTATATATATAAAACCTAAAAAAATATTTTGTTTCATATTCTCCACGTGCAAATTTTTTAAAGGCTTAGCAACCTACATCAAGCAGCATCCAAGTACAAAGTTTGTAACTAGAAGAGATGATTGTTTGCTTTACTTCTTTAGTTACTGTTCTATGTTTTAAGAAAAATAAGTTTAAGAACTTATTTCAAAATAGCAATAATCTGTATACTACTGTGTAATAATTGAAATGTGACTGTATTTTACAAAATACTAGTCTAGTAAAACACAGCCAAGACAAGTTATTTTATACAGACCAAAGGTCGGTTTTGTGTTATTTGATACGGTAATATGAGTGCACATGAGTTGCATCATTGTAACTTCTGTATTGTTAGCCAGGCATGGCTGAAAGGTCAATATAATAAATATATATATATAAATGTGTAATGTTATGAGATTTAAGCTATTTAGTCTAAACATTTATGTTTTTGTGTTATAATTTATGTTCATTCTAGAATAAAAGAGGCATAATTTATATTTATTTCTTAATTTTTTATGGTCTTTGCTAGATCGGTCAAATCTACCAAACACATACAGAGATTAATTACCGAAAATAACAGATAAAATATAAAGTTTTTTCCTTAAGAAACGTTTGATAATTATCTGGACATTGCTAAATATAACGATAATTAAACAAATAAAACACAAAACAGTAATTATGAGAAGAAACTATAGCAAGAAAACACAACAACAAAAAAAAAAGTAAAATCAGTAATACGAACATATTTAAAAAAAAATGTATAATTTAAAGTTAACATTTGCTTACTAATTTAAAAGTCATAATTAAAACTATAACAAGCAAAAAATGGTTACGAGGTCAGTCCTAGGTACCGAGCCCGTGCTGAAAGAGTTAATATGTTCAGTCTCTATGTTCTTATTTTACTTATCTTAACCATTTAGGTCTCTAGATTTTTTTAATGATCACCGTAAAAGATTTAGTACTTAGGTTTTGTTGCTGTTTAACTTATGGGTCCAGCTTTTAGGTGTTGTTGAGGTTTACCTTTAACAATAATGACTTCAGCCCTCTGTTTTTGTTGATGTTCACCTCATACTTTATATGCTACACAGCAGAACCAGTTAACCTGCCTTCACACACATAAATAATAAAGATCACATGAATGGACATTGAACAGGTATTAAGCCACATCAACTGTTTTTCATACATTATGATACAGCCTCACCTAAAAGCTGTTTACTAGTTCAGTACCCCCATCAAAATATTCTTGTTGGTCAAGGAAAGAATAGTCTCCATTGTTCCACAAGAGAGCTTGCAAAAACATGCCTTTTCATCAGTAATAGTTTAGTTTTATAACAATATAAGTTTTATATATTATGACTTGCATATGAAGTTACAACAAGAAATTTTCTATATTATAATATATATAAAAAATGATTCTGTAATAAGAAAAAGCATTTATGAATTATATAATATAGATAAATAGCATGTAACTATTATATTTTACTGGTACAAGCCTTTTATAATATACTTTTTTGTTCGTTTTATTTTCGTACAAATGTTCAGCTTAATGAAATTCCAAGCAACAACAATGAGTTCGTGCTCAGGAGCACCTTAAACAATAGCACTGATAGTAGAGGTGAAGTTGAGGCACTACTAGGTATGTAAAAAGAAACGTTTCTTTTTTTTTCTTTTTGATAAAAAAAATGATATTGTGAAGCCTTATACATATAAAAGATAAGAGGTTGCACATATGGAACAGTAAGCACTTTAATTGTGGTGAATAAAATATTTGGGTTACATATGTGAAATATTAAAAAGCTTGTAATTTTATATACTGCCATGTGGTTTTAGTCTGAATGTCATGGTTTAAACCAAACTGATTTTAATTTGTGTAATATCAATTTTGAATATGTTTAAAATAATATAGTATGTTAAGCAAGCAAAGGATATGGCTTTATTCCTATTCAATACCAAATTTTGTTTTACTTCCAGATCATAATATAGTTAAAACATTACCACAAGAAAGTAATCCAAACAGGAATCAGCCTGACAAGTACATTGGTAAGATTTTGCTAATGCAATTTGCTGTTCTTTAATTTTACCAACTACTCATTACTTTTGATAGGAAATGTGTTATCCAATAGTCAGAAATGCAAAAACAAAATCACTATTTTCAATATGAATGTTTGGAAACCATTGTAGGAAAAGTTTATGAAGAATATAGCACTATATCATATGTGTTATATGATTGCTTATGATTCACATACTTTTCTATCAACTGTAGTCACTCATATACTGTAAAATTGAAGTTTTATGTCTTTAGGAAATAAGTAATATCTCTTCTAATTAAAATCAGCCAACTCTGACACTTTCAGCTTCTTTCTAGTACGATATATTGCATTTGTTTAATACTTTGATGTTAAAGCATACATACATACATCTACTACTAAGAAACGAACCATATATTTAGAAAAAAAAGCTTTAACAACTAAATAGTCTCACCTGAGGTTTCATTAATTTCACACTAATTGATTTAAAGCTACCAATAAATATATATATACACACACACACACATAGGATTTTATCAGTATATAACTGTATCAGGTGAAGCATGAAGCCTTTACAGCCAAAAAGCGAAAAACAACAACACGCTAAGACTATATTTGTGACTTTAACACCTCATTTCAGATTGTTCCATTCTAGATATTTACTAAGAAGATTAGATTAATCATATATCAACTATAGTTTGATTGTTATTGACTTCTCTTTTTCTCTTGTATATTAGTTTTTTTTACTTTATTCCTTTTATGAAATACTGATATCTAAACCTTCATGGTTTTTTTGTTGTTTATCAAGGTTGAATTCATTAACTTTGACTTTGTAATATTTTGCTTAGAATTGTAGTAAGTTCACTTGTAAATATTATGATTTATTGTTTGAATAATTATTTCTAGGAAAACAAAGTGATGAAGAAACAAGTTTCATTTCGAGTGATCAAAGCTAAGACTGATGTAATGCTAGAATTATTGTTTTCTGTTTTGTATTCTTTGTTATTATAATAACAGATATCACAACTGTCTGGTGCCAATTCAAACTGAATTCATATTACAGAGGCATTGTGAAAACCAGTGGTGTTCGTTCATATCTATAAAAAACTATATTTGTACAACCAGAGATTATATCAACTATGGGCAAGGTAGGAGGCAAACCAAAGTGCAGAATTTTAATGCAGTATTTGATGTATTTTCTCATAAAGACAGAGAAACAGCAAAACTGCTTTTGAGATGGCAGCTTGTAATGGTTGTTTATTTTGTTCAGAAAACCAAGATCAAACACAGCAGGCCCAAAGTGAAAGTTACCTCAACTAGAAATATGATTTGTGAGCTAATAGTTTTGAAAACTGAAAAAATAATTTTTTTTTGAGATACAACACTTGGAAGATGCAAGTAAAGAAAAATGTATATACTGTAAATAGCAAAAAACACAACTTTATTTTCTTTCAAATCTGGGATTTTTTAAATGCATGTATTATAAAGATAATTCAGTAGGATAATCAGTTCAGGTGAATTTTATGTGTTACCCTGGTGTTTAACTGACTTTTTAAGTGTTTTAATTTTACTGAAGAATTCTTTGTAAATTCAGATATCTGTTGTATTCTATCTCTCATATATATAATCTTCTTTAAACAAAATATAGCATGTTAAACTGTGTTTATGTGAATGATGTAAAATGTAAAACAACAACAAAATCATCATGCTGTGAATTACATTTGTTGAAAATATTGAATGCAACTTGATTTTATACAAGTGTATAAAATATATTGCTCTGATAGGTTTAAACTGATATACTTTCTATACTATACTATAATACACTATACTTTCTAATTAATGCCATATTCTGTTATATGCTGTATTATTTAACAGTAGGTATCCAAACTCCTGACATATATGTTCTATTACCTAATTCAGGATCTTCCATTATATTTTCTGTCACTGTCTTACAGCTTTGTTACCATATTTTCACTTTTCAAATACCATCTCAAGGGTTGCCACTATGTCCAAGCAAAAAAAAAAAAGAACAAAAAACAGTCTAAATATGCAGGTTGACTTTAATTCACATTGCGGATAGCATACAAAAAAATAACTAAATTCATGAAAGAATAATAAGAATTTTGTTTTTGTTTTTTACAGCCAAGATTTCTTCCTTTTAAACTCTTTGACTTAAATATTCAGTTTAGCTGTTTTTTTTCCTATTATAGAAACCTATAATAGAAATAAAATATTTTGATCCAATATAACTCCCAGGCAGCTCTTCTGCTATTCTTGTAGACTTTTAAACCTTCTCTAGTGATTTTAAATAGTAAGATCTATCCCTATAATATGAAATATAAAAAGAAGAGGAATAATTATATAATAGTATTAAATCCCAAAAGATGATTTTTTTCTTGCACATCAATTAAAGTTATAGGAGCTAAGCAAGCTGTGAAACAAACTCAAAAGTAAAACTTAGGATTGTATCAATATTAAACAATAATAATTTGTCTTTTTTTTTTCACCTCTTTTATTTCTTTTTGTTTCTCAGCAGCAGCAATTTGTTCTTTTCTGCATCATGCTTTTATATTTTGTTGATAGGTTTCAAAGTTTCAAAACTTGGTTGTTATAGTAAACCTTAAGTAATTTCATGTAAAAGTTACTTAGTTAAATAGTAATTAAAATGTAAAATATACCAGGTTAAAGTGGGAAAAACATTTTACAGTTATTTTCAATAAAACATTTTTATCACTTTAAGCTGTTTTATGTTACATTTTAATTTATTTTTTATGATGGGATCCTCTTTGTAATTATGTTCAGTTCTGAACAAACAACCTCTCTCAGATGTTACAATATTAGTATTATCAGAGAATCGTCTTTCAACATGCACATTGCTATCAGGGATAAAGATCACTGCCTTCATTAACTTGCTTAAGCAAAGGAGTATGTCATCACCAGTAACAATATTTTTTGCCTCATTACATAGTTTCCTGTAGTCATCCTCTTATCTAAGATGACCACTTTCCTTATGTTCTTCACAAATGATCTGCAGGTAATAGGCTAACCCAATAAATGTCAGAATATCTCAGGAATAAATTTTTTCAAATACTATACTAGTATAAAAGCCCATCAAAAATTATAGGAAACCATTGTTGAATGATTAACGAAAATTATAGAAATTAACTAAAACGAATTTGTCTGTACCTCTAAAATGCAACCGCTCTTCATTTATTTCATCAGTCTCGAAGTAATTCTTTAATTATCACATTTTTAGTAAAAACTATGCAGAAAAATGAAATGTTATTGTGAACAAAAATACTGTGTACTCTGAAAGAGATTTAAATAGCACGCTTGAGTCTTTTCACTGTATTCTATGTCAGGAAGTAAAAACGTAGTGTGGAAATTCTGACACAAATTTTCAACTCTTTCGACTGTACAAAAGATAAAAGATATTTGGTGGTACTAAACGTTTATTTTTCTTTATGTTTTAAGGCCAAGTAGATAATATAACGGGTTAAAATCCCAAAATAATATTTATTAATTAACATTTATTCACCACTTAAAACTTTTTAAACGCTTATTCTATAACGTTAGTAATTTTAGGCCTATTTGTAGTCTAATTTAAGCATTAGGTCTAGTACATAAATGTAATGCAAGACTTAATTGAAACAGTATTTGATAAATTTTAGTTTGCATTTGGCTAAAACTCAATGTCATAAAACTTCTGAATTAAACGATTTTGCTGTTATATCACCAAAAATTATAAAAAAATAAAGAATAAAAAATAAACCTTTCTAGCAAATCAACATGACATTCAACATAAACACTACAGTTGAACTAAGAAGAATCAGGTGATATTTTTATTGCTAATTGAAGATGTATATTGTTGAGCATTACCAAAAAAGGAGCATAAAAGCATTCTTGACAGAGTGACAAAGGGAATAGCCTTTTATAGTTAGTGATGCAAAGGTGCAATTTCCAGTGTCTAAAGACAGTTCACTTGTATATTTATTCAAAAATCATTTACTTTCCTCATAACATTAGGACCAACCGTCATAACTGTTGAAAGATCCCGCTAACTATAAACCTGCCCTTTGTTTTCATTGAGAAAAAACATTAAGGTATGAATGTCTAATTCTAATTTTATAGCCACAGTTTTAGCAGTGGGAGGGACAGCCCTCACCACCACCACTTTTCAATCTGTCCCAGTAAAAATGTATCAAAATTAAGAAAATTACTCTTAGGAATATGCATAAAATTTTATCTAGAACCCAAGAGCTACTAGTGCCCTAGAGTGATCCCTGGACCCTGGCCGTAATGGGTGTGCTCGTGACCCACATTCCCTTGCTTTAATAAACCTTTTCCTCCATTTTTTATTTTTCCTCTTACACGTCTGTTTAGTTTTATAAATTATAAGGAATCTTTTATCAAGCATACATAGCTAGGTAGATCTTTTAACTAAAAAACAAGTGTTTTACTATCTCTGAATTTGGAAACATTATTTTGAATTATTTTCCTTCTGACATCACATTAGAAAAATTGAAAGGAATGCTGTTCTTAATGAAGTAAACTATCCACTTTATTTGCTGCTCATATTGGATTATAATTACTATCTTATTTTGAATTTATTATATTTTTAGTTGAAAATCTCTTTAAAACAGTTGTCGTTTATCATTTATCTATTGCATGAATATAAAATGGGTTAGATGTGGCACCCCATTTATGTAAATATATTGTGATAATAGGCTTAAGTTGATCAAAAATAATAATTGCTTAGAATCTTACAAATGATATAATGAAAAAAATTACACTTACAAGACTGAACTATAATTTGATCAAAAATACAGAAACTTATTTGTTATGCAAAAGTTTAATATTGGTGTTTCACTACCAGTTTACAATATATATGAAATACTAACTTACAAGCTGGTACATAAATTTTAATAGGTAAGATGTAGGTCTTTCATAGCACACAATACCCAAAATGGAAATGTTTATGAATTACATATCCTGAAGTGGTGCTACAGGTATTTCTTTTTGTATACTTACCCTAACTGCCCTTACACTAAATGTACAAGAAAAGTACTATTTAAGGGCTTTTAATTTTAAGAGGTTATTCACAGAGCACAGTTGTGTGGTCTTAAATAATCTCAGAGGACTTGTAGACATGTATGCAAGCCTAAAGCAGGAAAGAAGTTTCTGGCATTTGAGAAAAAAGGACACAAAATACCCAAAATTTTGAAAAAAATATTCCTCGAACTTTGAAACTAAAGTATTAAAATAGAAGATTAACAAGTTACCATTTCTCTCCAAATAAAAATAATTTTTTCATTTTTAGCAAAAAAAAAGGCAAGGAGAGAGAGAAAAAAAAAGAACTTGTGGCAGCCCTGACAATATTTTCTGTTACTTAAACTAATTTTTCTACAATCTGTTGTATTACCTATAACTAAAAATTTGTCATAACATCTTAAGAAAAACTAAAAATTTGGTGATTTTTTTGTACTCGCATATGATAATATAATATTAAATATGAAGTTCAGTTTTTATCTTAATAAAATAGTTTGTTATTAAATTATACATGAAAGAAAACCCAAGTTATCATTTACATTATCAAACAATGTTTAATATATTGTTTTAATCCTTAAGAAGAATAAAATGTATGTGTTGATAATGAAAAGTAACCATGATTATACAATTTATATTATGAAATCTGAGTAAAAAACACTGCCTTGAAATATGTTACTGAGATGGTGACTTTTGAAAATATTGTTCAGCACTAGATATCTATCAATTTTAGTTTTATATATAAAAGATATCAGTGATTCATAATTTCACATTTAAGTCTATATCAGAAGTTAAGATCAAATTATCAGTGCAGTCTACAAATAATTTTATTTTTTCATGTGCAAATAGTTGAGTTGTCTGAAGCAGACTGTTTACTATGCATGCCATGACTGAAATGATTAAAATATATATTATTTACAAATAATCTTTACTTATATTATACAATAAGTTACCATATCAATAATTAGCATTTTTACCTTAATATATAGCAAAAAATTGGTCGCTATTTACAAAGATTTTCGAAACTGTATAGGTTATTCTATATATATATATACATTTACACGTATATATATATACATTTACACGTATATACATGTGTATATCTTTATCTAGTAACGTCTATAGCTTTGAACATAAAAAGAAAACTTTACCACAATAGTATGTTTGTGTACAGTTACTATATAATTCATCTTGCAACAGTGAAATTAAACAGCAAGTGTAAAAGATGAACGTTTTGACTTTAAAATCAAAGCTTGAACAGTTTTTCTCATCTAATAAGTTTCTTGTGTTCATCAAATAGCTGGTCATTCATACTGTAGTATGTAAGGGTATATTATATCATTATATGTATTGAAACTGAAGGAATACAAGCACATTCATAATTTGTAGGTAAAATGGTTTGTATTTGCAGTATATTCATTTATTTTGTTGGAAATCTGTCAATGATCAGACTTTTGTTTAGTGATCATTATTGCATAGTTTTCAAAAGCTGTATGTGTTATAAATTGATAATGTGGTTGTGATAATGCTACTCATGCACCCACTTGTATTTGATAGCACTGATGAATTCAGCTAAGCTATGATTGGTGATCACGTTTAAGTAATCTTATTTGTAGTAGTATTCCAATTTCTATGGTAGACTCGCAAGAAACACCTAGAAGAACACAACCATCTTCCCAACTGACCTTTTCTGAATACCATTCTAATTAATAGATAATCCATATACACTTAACTGAAACCCCACAGTCTACATTAAAAGGTTTCTTCTTGTATTTGTTTAGATGTAGTATATTTTAAAAATTCCCAAGTAATACATACTTAAAGAAAGAGCACTGACCTCAGTTGGGACAGTAATTGTTAACACACTTTTAACAGTTATTAGTTCTAAGATTTTTCTCTAACTTATTTGAATGCATTATGGGAAACAAAATTTATAAATTAGATCTGTTAAAGTATGAAAGAAAATACAATCTTTTGGGAAATGTACACTAATATCAAGTTGATTCTTAAAAAAGGTTGTTTTTTTTTTAAATATAAATCTTCTTTCATAAGACGATAATAATTTTGTGCAAATATTAAAATAATATCCTTTACACTGATCTTTCAAACAGACAATTGCTCAGTTACAGAAAAAAGTGTTAACTAATAGTTTAATAATGTAATGTGAGCTATCAAGTTTCTATATAAATATACGTTTGCTACTTACACCACATTGCTGTTAACCAAGTAACTATTACTCTTTCAGCTGTGAAATGGATATTCTGATCTGTAAAGATATCTCAAAAATGTACATAAGCAAAATGTTAAAAAAAAAAAAAACATTACCTTTTAGTACTTGCTGTTACAAAGTTTCCAGCTGTAAGATGAATATTTTGATCTGTGAAGTTATCTCAAAAATGTACATAAACAAAATGTTAAACAGAAAAAATAACACATTACCTTTTAGTACTTGCTATTACAAAGTTTCTGTTATGTATATCTTTGTCAAATGTTTATATCCTGTGTGTTTGTTTTGTAAATAAACCAATTATTTATACAAAATTGGCATCATTATCTTTTATTTAACAGAAAAATACTGCATACGTAAATATCATACAGTTTAAGAAATGCATAAATATGATGATTGTTTAGAAAACTTTGCACCTACACTTTTCTTTAGTACCCAACCAGAACAATAATCCCAATTTGCAAACTGGGGATATGCCTAAACAAATGTACATGTAATATATACTGTTATTAGCATTGCATCATTTCTAAAAATCATTATTTCAAATCTAAAATATCTGAACAGAAGATACACTCTGTATGAAGACATCAACAATGTTGAGAAAAGCAGACATTTACTTCTTAATATTTGCATTTCATTATATTAAACCATTACTACAGTGTGTATTGTATTGTTTTAGTTCTCTATTTCTTGGTAACCAAACACATTTATTAAATTGAATGTTTGTAGTATCTTTTCAAAACAGGAGGTTCTTCAATAGGATATTCATGATTTATTTTAACAATACAAGGATGGGTATCTTAACCTTTCATGACATTCTTACACTATTTTCAGTGTTCTTTGTGATGGCCCTGGTTATGTACTATTGCTCTACAAGACAATTTCCAATGCAGTACACTGACTTCAGTGTATTGCATTGTGCCTTCTTCTTTACATGCTTTCCAAAATTCATCAATCATGTGTGGACAATGCCGTATAAGGACTCATTTGAGCAGTTAAAGACACAGAAATCCATAACAGATGTCTATGAAGGACAAACACAAATTCCCCTTTATACTTGCATCTTGTAGTGTAGACATGACTGAATACTTTGTCTTGATAGTCAAATTTTATTGCCATTGCATCCATGCAAAAATGGTATTTTCCCATGATACAGTGATGTCAACACATTAAATTGATAATATGCAGAATTTGCCTTGGAATTGTTCTTGATTTTTCAGGTGTTTAACGTATTAGTATAGCTGTAACCGCTATAAATATCTTGTAAAAACTTTCACAATGTACATTCTCTGTACTATTTTTGAAATTTTAAATCAACATCAGAACAGTAATAAATCACCTGGACTTTTGTAGACACTTGAGTAGGCATATGTTTTGATATTTCCATCTATTGCATGCAAGAAACTACTGGTATAGCTTTCAACAGTTCATCTTCCATTTGGCTGTATGTTTTGGGAGAAACTTCTGAATAATTTTTGTGCCACTTTTTTATTCCTAAATTCATGTGAATTACCTTGTTTACAGTTCTAAGCTAGGTTACTGTGTTCTTGGATTATTTCCAATTACAAGCTGTATAACTTTTTTCATTACCTCCAATGTGTGTGTGGTAGCTGGTTGTGGAGTAACCTGTTTTTTCCCTGATGTTATCATGCCTTCCCTTGCTTTGTAAGTATGGTCCAACACCACAGGTATCCCTCTCTTTGGATTGGTAACATGTTGAGTCTTGTATAGCATTGTAGCCTAAGAATAGGAGAATTTTGCACTGGAAATTTATTTTGTGTAAACCACTCGGAAGAGGTCAATTTTAGGCACTATCTGGACTTGCAACCCAGGGATCTTCAACTGAATTGAAACAAGAAGGGGTCAAGGATTTTAGCAAATAAAGTCACAGATCACATCAAAATAACTGGATATGCAATTTGTTAGCATAGGCTATGAATAACCCATTGTATTTGCTGAGAAGATATCCAGTCTTAAGGTATGCATAAGATGTTTCCAAATATGAATCAGATATACATTCCCAAGATCCAGAGAAGATTTGTTTGTTTATTTTAATGCAAATTAACACAATGGGCTATCTGCACTCTCTGTATACTGTGGGGAAGCTAACCCAGGATTTTGCATTGTGTGTTTGTAAACTTACCTCTGACCTAACGGGACACAATAGAGGAAATTATAAAACTTAATTTTTATGCATGTTATCTATAATATTAATAATCAGAAGGTAAAATTATGAGGCAAGTACACCAAAATTTTATGTATAATTGGTGGATAGTTATTTCAAGCCATCACTTCCTCAACTATCTTTTTCTTTCACCTTAGAGCTGTGTTATGATGTTATTGTGGCCAACAAAACACACTGAATGTAAAGATGGTTGGGTATTAGATAACTGGTACTAAGTACAAATAGTAATATGCTCCCATTGCAGTGTGAAAATTACAATGAAATTCAATTTAATCTCATGGCACAACACAAAGTGGAAAGCAAGTAAATTACACTCAACTTTAGGAGAAATTAGATACTACAGAAAAAAAGATCAGGCAGAATAGACTTTGATAGGTCTCACACTATCTGATGGTGAATAATTTAATCTAACTAGACTAACCTAATCTCAGTTTATGGCCTGTCTTCCAGAATTTCATCTGTAAGTATGTAAAATCAACAAAAACCTGTCTATGGATTCTTCTCATTGAACTCTTTTACTGGCCCAGCATGGCCAGGTGATGATCCTTGAAGTTGTAGAATGGCATAGTAATAACAGATAAAGGATTGAAATTCACAAATAATAATTAAATAGACGTATTACTCAAGGTTAGCCCTGATTGACTGAATATGTGCATGTTAATGTGTCCGTTTATTTTTAAGGTATATGCTTTAAATGTATCTCATTTATGATACAGACATACATACATACATATACATGTTTTTAATATTATTCCAATATAAATAACAGCATACTGTTTTTATCTAATATTCACTGTATTGAAATAACCTAAATTACATCATAGAGTGCCCAAGAATAAGTCTTATTTGTTAGGTAATGTATCTGCATGAATTCTTATTGTCAGGATAGGAGTGTTGGATCAGACAGACACGTGATTCTGTCTAACTAAGATTATTTTAATAAGCACTAGACGCTTGTTTTGCCAACCCAACATATGGTAAATCAGTTTTATTACATTAGATTTCAGAACAACTACAGTATATTGATTGGAAGTTTTAACCAAATAAATACACCAAAACAGACATTTGCAATAGAAAATTCACAAGTTATATCAAGATATAAATAATGAAGTGGTAAAAGTCTGAACAGCTCTAACAAATACTTAGTTTTACTTCAATAATCTAGGTACATTTACAACTAAAATATCACATTTAAATGCTCTTTAGGATTAACTGTTTCTTGCAATACATACAATAATTTATCTAACAAGAATCTTTTACAATTATACAGGAACAGACTTCATTTGAACATACTTAATTTTCTTTGCAAGTTCATACACTTCACTTTGTACTCCCCTTTCCATCTTAGCATTGAACTAACAACCGACTTGGACTAATGAGAGGCTAAAAGTAGGCAAAAATAAAAATGGTGTAAGGAAAACATCCTGATGTTAATGCTGCTGCAGTTAGGAACTATTTGACCTTTGGTAAACGTTAGATAAAATATGCTTGTTTTTTTAGCTACTTACAAAATATGCATATCATTTGTTCAGCCATGCCTTAATTACAATTTTGATATATTAGATAATAATATTTCAATTCCAACCAGAATTTAAAAACTCAGAGTTTCTGCAAATTCCACTACAGTGGAGTAAGAGGACTCTGGATGTACTGTGTAGACAAATTTCTTCTCAAAATTAATTTCTACCCTTCTTATTCACTGTAAGCTCTTCTTTTTTTTTCCAACAATGTCAGTTTCTTCAAAAATAGAAGTTACAATTGCATATACCAATTTTACTCATTTCAGAAATAAATAAAATACCCATACAGACTAAGTAATTTACTTCTGCATTCCAACTAACATGCATTCCTTTTACAATTTGAGCTCAACACACACAGTTGAAAATTTAACTAAATCATGGACATACCATAAGCATTTTGTCATCCACTGCTTTAATAGATGCTTTCTTTCAAAGTTTCCATTTCATCACCCTTAAAAAAATACTGTTGTACCATTCTATTACAACAGTGTACAAGCTGATTATGAAAATAATGTCCACTTCTAAACAATCACTGTTTTCTAATCATGATATATGGGCAAAATACCAATGTAAACAATATCAGCTTTCAAAGAAAATAGTTCTACAAGTACTCTCCATTAGAAGATAGAATGTTCATTAAATTGTAATATTCTTAGATTAAATTAAAAATATACATATTCAAGGAGTTGAAATACAGAAATACGGGTATCATTAAAAGCTTGTCACCAAAATTCCATGAACCTGCAATGCATGGAATATGTAGGTTATTTGAAATAACTGTGTAATATTTAGCATTCTAAGATGCAAAGCATCTCTACTCCCCCATCCCACACATCTCTTCCTTCCCTTCTCATAACAATACACAATAATTTTCCATTTAGTGAATTGTTCAAAACAAATTTATCTCAAATGTGAAAGTATTTTTGCCTCATAATACTCAAAAAATGGTTTGTTGCCAAGAGCTTTAGATGAGAACTAAACAACTCAAATTATACAAATGTTGACAGTTGAATTTAGCTTGAAGCAACAGCTGTAATACATTATTCATATATTATTTTTCACTTTCAAACAATGGTACGTTTTCTTCACAGAATTGCTATACCAAAATTTAACTTGTACAATCATATTTACAAATTTCAAATTATTCAAAACTAAAAAATAAATAAATAATCATAACCATGCATACAAATTAAATTCCTTAGATCTCATTTATTTGTACCTTTTAATTTTAAAGAAACAAACCATAATACAAGATCATAAATATCACATCTAAAGAAAGTGTAGCAGCAAGGTTAACAAGTCGCATTATCAGCGACTCTCAGGAGTTTCCATGCCCCATTAAAGACTCTCATTAATCTAAGTATTAACCAACTTTACTACATATATCATTAATAACCATTTTTTAAAATCTGGAACACTTCTGTGTTCCAATCAACATACACCTTTTACAAAATTATGTTTAACACTTACAGCTGAAAATTTAACTGTATCATGCACATATCATAGGCTAAATTATACATTATTCATATCCATACAAGTCAAAGACACAAAGTTTCTCTTTATAAATGTTGTGTAAAAAAAGAATTTCTGGACTCAGTTTTCCAACAAATATGGAGTATCCAAGAGGAATGTTTTGACCAACATTAATAAACCATCTTTCTGCAATCTTTACAATGATTTATTCTATAAAGCGAGAGATGTTAATATACCAAAAGTTATGAATTAAATTGCTGGCTACGTTTAAATCTAGATGTTACAAGCTCATTTTCAAGTTTTCAAGGAAGTTGGGACATGTTCAATGATTTTAGAAATTTCAAATGGGAATTTACATACTTCATATAAATATGCACATGAAGAGCTACTATGAATTCTAATTTTCAAAAGCTCAGGCCAGGAACAATGCATGATACTTCAGTACCAACATAGCGGTATGACTGCATATTTAATTAATTGGACAAGTTATGTTTATTTTATTTCCAATGACTTAACTTTAGTTATCGAACTAAGCATACCACACAAAATTTAAACTACTTTTACATTTTTACTGAGATTTATCTATTACAACTAAAAAAATATCTAAAGTAAATTTCAATTACTGCAGTAATGCATAAACTAATAATATACTGAAAGGTTTTGTTTGTAACCATAGACAAAAATATATAATACAATAAAATTAGTTTGGAACTCTAATCAAAGTTCTGGGCATATTTGTTATTACACATACAGATAGATATGTTCTTTTTTTAATAGCAAATTCACCTTATTTACAAACATTGATGAACAATGCAAAAATCTAAAAGTGCTCATAAAGCTCATGAAAAATTCAAAGCAAGTCTGTTATTACAATTATTCTTAGCTTACTTTTTCAAAAAACCTTATTAGATTTTTCAAGAAATTGAGCTTTTATATTTTTGGTTGCTGAAATTTCTTAAGAACAACACTTTTTACAGTTAAAAATTTAAGAGCATCAAACTTGTGAAAGTATATTTTGCTTCTAAAATAACATTAGAACATACACAAGAATAAAATCTAGTAACATCTACTAAAAGCAAAGATTATTCAAGTGTTAATTTTACACAAGTTTCTGCCAAGTGTACATCACCTATCAAAGTTTTATATCAATTAAAAAGTCAACTTTTGACACTGGATGGATCAAAATTTGAAAACAAAAAATTAACATATTTTCTCCTTCACACGTTCAATAATAATTAAAGCGTGTAAAACATTAAAGAGCTAACTGATTTAACGCAGCTCAACATAACAAACATTTTTTGCAATAACTAAATAACAACAAAGTTACAAAAATCTCTACAACTTCACACATACTGGACAACAATTACCAACACAACCTGTATCACTATCATTGTAGAAAAGCAAATTATAAAAAAACAAACAAACAGAGGAAAGATAACATATAACATTATATGCTATATGTGACGTGCTTTAATTTAGTATATTTTGTCATATCTGGAATTGCCAAAATTGCACAATATCCACGTTGAATTACATACTCTTAAATAATTTAGGTGTTATTTTTTCAGATGTTATCTCACAGCATAAAGTATGTCTCTAATTTTCCCAATAAAAATAATGTATAGATGCACAATTCTCATAGCAGTACATAAACCGATATAATTATAAAAATGTAACACTGTGAAATAAATAAAAATTCACAACTTTCAATATTATATAAACTTCTTCCACATAAAATCTTGCAATAAACAATAAAATATCATTTGTTCCTTCATCAAACAATGAAAATTCAAAATCTATAAATAATTAAAACAAAACTAGAACATAATTGTATATTTAAGGTATAGAAATTTATTATCATCCTTCATTAAAAAGTGGTATTTTTGTTTTGTTTTGCAATAATAAATACAGAAACAAAGTACACTGATATTGTGACAAGTTTTGAAGTGATCTTTAACAGTTATTTGTATAAAAAAAAGCACAGTAATAATAAAATAATAACTATAACAATATCTCATACAGAATAGATGAACTCAACTACCCAGAAGTTTATCACTAGAAATTAAATAGTTATACCTTATATTAAAATTTGCAGTTAAGAATACAGTTACCTTTTGAAACCAAAAAAAGCAATACTTAGCTCCTAATATCATATACTAAAATGTGTAGGTAGTTTTACTTAGCAGTAAACTTAATTGAAGAAATACAACAGAAATGCAATTTTTGTAGCAATTTAAGTAATATACCTGAAATATTTCATCCAGCTTCACTGATCTACATGAAGCAGCCACTAAAAAAATAACTAATCATAAATGTAACAGATATTAATATTTTGCAGGCTACAAAAATCCATTTATATTATATCAGAGTTGGCTCCTAAAACAATACCAAATATTAGAAATTTGTTGGCAGAAGTTTTTATTTGTCAATGTACTAAAGCTGGTATGACTTCTCAGCTCCAAACTGCTACACAATTTATTAATTATTAACATGCTGAGCTTACTGATGATATTGTTTTGCATCAATGACCAGGCAAGCTTCATGTTTTGTTACACACTAAATGATGGATAAGGATGTAACCATTCAATATTTTCAGAAACTCTTCTAAAGCACAACAGATACTCAGCAATGGTTTAAACTACTGATGATATTGCAAGCAATATCACGAAGTATAAGGGGTGGGGGGGAGTCCTTTGGAAAAAATTAAAACTAAAATACTAGACCCTGGCCTTCATGGTCACAAACATACACGAACTGCGTGTTTTGTTTTGGTTATTACTTTATGTACTTTTGTCAACTTTAACATAACTGCAATAAACTTATTTACTATTTAATGATTTTTACAAAATAATATACAAAAGTAGTGAAGCATTGTATGCATTTTCATAATTAACAGTAAAAAAATAGTTTACCTCTAGATGGTGCTATTTCAACTATTGGAATATTTGTTAATAATCACAGAGTAAATCTTTAATGTACCTAATACACCTAATGAGAGATTTTGTGAAGAAAGCAAAAAGGTTCTTGTTAATGTCAATGATAAAGGGTACTTCACATCAGATTGTAATTACAACAGTTGGTTCAATGCATCACAGAAGTATAAACATTTTAAATACTTATTTCTTTTTAAATCGATAAATTGTTCATATATATATATATATATATATGTTCAAAATTATTACTTTAACTCTTGTGTACATAAAAACAAAGTAAAAAGTTAATATTTGGTTTGGTTCCACATCATTCATTTCACAACATAACTATATATTAATCCACTACTTAAAACAGTGATATACTGTTGTTTTTATTTTGCTTTGTACCATAAAAGATTGTTGGTGTGTAAAAATATATAAAGCTCTCTAAAAATTTTATATTAAAGTTGTATTTTAGTACCTTTTATTATGAGTTCAAATACTCTTAACTATTAATGGTGTGAAGGATAACAACAACAACAAAAAAAAACTGTACAACTGATGAGCAAAAAAAGTATTAAAGAAACAGAGGCTTGTATAACACAAATTTACACATGTATTACATGAAAGAAGTTAAATACAAGCTGAAAGTTTGTTTTCACGTCCTAACATAATGAATGTATAACTTCCTAAATGTCACACACCCAATCTTGTAAATGTAGAGGGTTATTTGCTTCCTGAGACTGAGTGTTGTTCCTATCCATATGAAGACTCGTATTACTAGAAATGGGGAATGATACACAAAATTTTGACTTCTACACTCATAATAATTCTTATAAGAGAGAAAACAGACAGATATATAACTCCTTAAACAGATGACTATAAGCTTTAGAAGTATACATGGATAATGAACTTGTAGAAAAGCAATGATAAATTGCTACGCAATGGTAATAGAATTCATAAAAGCAACAGAAAAATTAGTTTCATTAGTGGAAATAACATTTTAGAAGTCAAAATAATAATATGTTTGTTACTAAATAAAGAGGCTGAATAGGCACCATTAATTTTTATGAAGTGTTGAAGTACATTTTTCAACATGTGTAGTTCATGCAATTTAGATGAAAAACAAAATGTATTAGAAACACCTCAAAAGCTAGAAAGTGCATTCCAAGAACTTGAAGAAATATAATGTCAAGCAAATGATACAAATTTATATTCCATGTTCATAATATTACTTTCTGCATAGGTATGCAACTTGTGCGTAAGTAACTGGCAAGAAAACTTTTAACAATTTCTTTACATTGTATATTTCTACAGACTACCAATAACGATGCAGGATGTAAAATGCTCCACACATGTGTGCAGAAGTGTGAATATGTGCTATGTGTACAAAAACTTACAAACTTGTAATGTTACTTGTGTACAATAGCTGGCTTCATAAATACCGAGATGAATTTTCATAGAAGAATAATTATTTCGAACATTTTAAAAGTATTGAGCATCTAGCACTTTAAATAGGCTTAATTGATAGAATTATTTCAGAAGATTTCTAAACCACTCCATATATAAAGATGTACTGACAATTATAATTAAAATTCATGTTATCACAAAAAAAAAAAGTTCACCTAGTTCAAACTTATATTTAACTTATACATGTAGGCTACCATAGTTTGGGTTATCCCATACAATGAAAGAATGATCAAGAGCATGAAAACTTGTATAAACCGGCTTACAGTTTTGAAGTTTTAAAATTACCATTAACATATCAGGAACTAACATAATGCTTATTCTTAGCATTTGTGTTTTCCAGGCAATAATTCTAATTAAATTCACAGCAATAGCAGTACATATTTTGTGTATATGATACATAACCTTTTCATAAGAGAAATATAAATGTATAAAGTACTATCTTTGATATATTACGCTAAGTTAAAACATACATTACATTGAAATCTTTATATTTTATGTATGCTGAATAATCACTTCTTTAAACACAATAAATTGTACTACTAAAAAAAAATTTGTGTACTTAATACATGCACAAAATGTTTTGTGACATAATTATACATATGGGTACAGAACTAAATTTCTACAGATAACTTAAAACAATTACTTTTACCCAATATTAAAGTTACTATGAGTTACTTGGATTTAATAATAAATTCTATCTAAAATTAATATTAAAATTTATATAAGTACATACTCATAACCATCTTATATTATGAAAGTTTTTTGTTTTTTTTAAACTGATTAAAATAATACACTCATATTTTGTTACACTAGTTTAGAGTCCGTACTAAATCCCTTACTGAAGCAAAAATTCATGCTTTTTGGATAACACTTAAAAAAGTAAGCTATGAGTACAATAATGTGCACAATAAAAAGTTCATATACTAGGTTTTAGACTTGCAATATATCTCCTGAGATATACGGCTCAATTATACTTTTACCAAAGACTTGTTTATCCTGTAGTACTGGTCATTTTTCCAATTTTGGTGGGGAAGAATATAAGTTGTTCCATTGTTGCTGTGGCAGTGTCCAAATCCATGGGAAAACTTTGGGGAGTAGCATGAATAAGAGTTGTAAAAAAGCTGTGGAGGGCTGGTACTGTATGGGAAGAAAGCTGATGGAGGACTGGTGCTGCCATACACACCATTACGGTATACTGGATACTGATGAGAAATAGGTGAGGTCACCCCATGCATCTGTTGGTGGTTGAAATTGTGATTGTATAAGTAGTTTTTGTTTTGATTTATTTCTCCATTGTTTTTCTTTTTCCATTTTCGTCGACCATTCACAACATTCATCGATGCCTAAGAATATAAAAATAACTTGTAAATATGACTTCATTAATAAACTTCATTCTTCTGTTCCAAATCTTTGTCACTGTATGAAAAAAAAGTAAATGCATTCTATTACTGACCACATAATATCACAAATTTTTAGTGGTTAAAATTTGTCCATAATGGTCAATCAGTAGCTACTATAACTAATTATACAATTTCAAATTCTGTGCACTTGTTGACTGAAATACCCATCTCTACTATATATATATATTTATTTATATTAAATGAAAAAGTAATTTTTCTTATAAAAAAAAGTATACATATAGAGCTTAAAAGCTTCTAAGTATTTCCTTTAATATTCAGGTCTTTATAGCTAAAACCTATCAATCTAAATTACTACTAATTTGTTTTACACCTACAATAAATATTTTAATTACATGTTACATATATATAGATAAAACAAATTTAAGTTCTACAGTTTGTACTCAGAATTCAACTCTCTGAACCATTTCTAAACAAACTAATATTACCCCTCCTATAATAACAGCTGATACAGTCTTAGGGACTTGGCCAAAGTACCGAAAATAAGCTTCAATGTTAAGAAAATTTATAATGAACTCATTCATTATATAAAAGATGCAATAATGCTGTTGAAAACCACAAATAGATTTAGGTGTGACTGTTCAAAAAAAAAGCTTGAATCTTTCAAATAAGTGTTGTGATCAAAATAAAAGTTAAGTATTCTATGTAGAGAAATTTTTTAAGTTAAAAATAAGAAGGTTAGAGTGACCTTTTAAAAGACACTGGTGAGACCTCACTTAGAACAGTTTTAGTCTTTTTTTCTCCTCATACAGAAAGGATATCAATACGGAGAACAGAGTACTGAGACTATCTCTATTAAAGATTTCCAATTTTAAAAACCTAACCACAAAGAGAGAGGCTTATAGATCTTGAGATGTTTAATAAGATGGTTAAGGAAATTAACAGTGTTGATGCATCTTCTTTCATATTTAATTTTAAGAATGGTAAGGCTAGGGAAAATAAATATAAGTTTTGGCAAAGAAGGAGTCATCTTCACTTAAATCAACTTTATTTTTCTAACAGGATATTTTGCCTCCATGAAGGGTTGACTTCAGATGTGGCGGATGCAGTTAATTTAAGGGAGTTTAAGGGAAAATGTGATCAATATTTGGAAGATAAGGGCTGCCTTAGAGTTTTTCCCCCAAGAGTTTAGTTTGATTTACTGGGTAAGACAGCCTAGATGGACCAAAAGTTCCCTTGGTGTCCTTTAACATTCTGTTAATATTATGTCTTCCTAGAACATGTAACTACAGATAAAAGGATTAAGAGGTTTTAATATTTGTAAGATTTCAACAATTTACCAATGTGTTGTATGTTTGTGTGGTGGAATGAAGAAGCTTGGAGATATGAGGTTAAATGTTTCCCTGTTATTGTAAACTTCTAAACTGATGTGTTTGATAATTTTGTATGTGGAGTCAGTTTCAAATGCTTGTTCAATTGTAAAATATATGTGTGAAGGACTACATAAGGGTTGATAATCATTACGTATCAACCTATCAAATTAAAGTTACAAAAGTAACACTACTTGTTCTCAAAAATTTTATTATGTGACCATTTTTACAAAAACTCTTATGTTACTAATATATAAAACAAAATACAGTAGATTTCTATAAATAAATCAAAACAATTTTAATTAGACAATAAAAATATCTTGAAACAAGGTAAAAATTTGTAATTATATGAATAATGTTTAAATCTTCAAAAGGAAATACTAAAATAAATTATCAATCTTCATTTCTCTACATCTTGTGATGTGTCTGTGCTCCAAATTGCATGTTTTAGATTTTCTTCTTACCTTTATATGATTTACCGAGTGTCTAACTAATTAGAAACATATAACATAGTTTCTGATAAGTCAGGATATTAACTTAGAACTTCCACTATTGTTATTTTACTGAGATATAAAAAAAAAATGTCAAACCCACGTAACATGTCCCTCCCATCTCATTCTGTCTTTTAAAAAAATTTCAATAATTCTATCTCTAAAATTGCTATTGGATTATCTATAATTAAAAAAAATGAGCAGCATGTTTTTAGAAGATTTATTCAGAAATTATTTAGTTTTCATGTAAGTAAATAGATATTCAGCCTGTTTCATTGTTTGTGATCCTGTTTTTCTTCTCCATGCAGTTAATGGAATTTTTTAAAACCTATTTATAGCTTAGATAGGAAGTCAGTTCAACTACTGAAGTTGTGGAACATCCTATTCTAGTGCCTGCTTTATTTTATTGTTCTAAAATGCATATTTCAAAGGAATGTTAATGATTTTTATGAGAACCAACACAGTAAGAAAAAAACTATTATTCATGAATTACACTCTCAAGTACAAAATACTGAAATAGGCTTCAACTTTAATATAAGTCCAAAAGTTAAAATTTTCTTATACTGAAAATGCCTTGTGCTAACTTTAAAGTGTTTAACGTGAACTGCACTGGTGCATGATGATCTCATCATGTGACAATAGCCCTCAACCAATAGGAGGGCAACACAACCTCCATGCACAGTAACTCCCCTTAAGCAAATGCACTTGAGATAACTTCTTTCTTAGAGGACACAAGAAAAAAATAGGTAGATCAAAAATAGGGAGGTCAGGCGGAATGTGTGAAAAGGTATCTACAGGACATATCTATTCAATATATGAAAATATTAACTTCCAAGACAATACCTCACCTCCTCACACAGGAATGCTAGAATCCCATGTTGAAGTGGTGAATGGGTCAGTCCCATATTTTAACCAAGATGAGTTCCCTTCAGTAAGTTCCCAAAGGGAAAGCCCATGAAGTGTAACACCTGATGGCAGGGACATAATCGTGGGATACAGCATCTTATCTCTAGCAGGGTATATTCTTCATCCAATATGAAAGAAGGGAGATACAATAGAGCCTAAAGTGTCATAGGGATGGGCAGAATTTGAATATGGCCAACCAAGCATCTGCACCCAAGCAGTTATAGAACCAATGTGTAGTGTGGTTAAAGAGCAATCAGACTGTACAGTGCGTGTGTGTGTGCTCATTTCAACTCTACTGAACAGACTCTGGCAGCAGGAGGAAAACACATTAGCTGTGTGAAAGGTGTCCTGCACTACACTGACAGTGTGACCACAACTATACTTCTCACGATATTGCACTAAGCCCAACCAGTGAGGATCCTGCGAGGTACACTACCCTAGTGGCTAGGAACTGGTAAGTGGCAAGGGTCTCTTGTGCTCCATGTGAAGAAGAGAGGGGAAGAATTCCCATTCAGGAGACCCAGAGAAGTGCCTAGATCCCCATTGGACCACCAGCCAGAAAGGTCTTTTATTGGAGACAGTGTAATAGGTGACTGTGAAGCCCTATTTCTAAAAGCAGCGAATACAAGCCAAAGAAGTTTGCAGTCACTTTGTGGTGCTGAATTTTACCATGGTAGTTCATGGAAATGGTATGGTCTGGATCTGACAAGTGAGTAAAATTGTAAACCACAAGGATACCTCTAGTGGTCTTACAGAACACCCCATCTTACAGTGGGCATTGGTAGAGCCAAGGCAGATGGGTTGAGCATTTTCTGTTACCCTTGCCCAGATGTGATTATAATTAAAAAATATAATACCATCTGAATGAGGTGCTTATATACAGTACCAGGATAAAGGATGCATTGATGTAGGTGGATAGTATCAAGAGACACGTATCACCAAGGGCAATTAAGTGGGAAATAAAAGACTGGAACAAGTGTCTTTTGATAAATATGTACAATTATTGCCTTGATTTGACACTTATTTGTTCGAGAATTAAAAGAAAAGTGTCATATCTACTTAAGGTTCAATGTTTACGATTGTTTGCAAGTATTGTACCTTCAGAAATTATTGGCCATTTTTAAATTAAACGCAGAAGATACACTCAGTAGGGGGCATACATTAAGATGTGAAATGGCTGTACTGATTGGACTGATTTGGGCTTGTTAAGTGTGAAAATACATACCCATCATTTCCTTAAAAAAGGCAAAGGAAGGAAACCCTAACAGTCGAGTAACAGCTGTAGAGAGAGGAAGTAAGTATGTTTTGGAAATATGGGACACAGTTTTACATTTCAACACTCAGTATTCTGGCACAAATGAATAATTGAGGCATGATTAGTACAACATTTCAGAAAACATCTCATTAGTGGTACATAAAAACCTAGAGAGCTTACATGACAGTGCAGGTGTGTAAGCATTTGTTCAAAACCTTCACTATAATGCAATATCTTAATTACATCTACTGTTTAAAAGCAAAGATGCAGAAGCAAAATATAGCCATTAAACTTATATCAATAACACACCTTTCTGGCTCTTTCTTGAGAGATTTTTTCTAATTCTTCAATGTTAATTCGATGAACAAAATTTTCTTTACTTCCACTTTTGAAAGATGCTACAGTGCAGAAAGATCCTTGGTGTTCACCAAACCTAAAAATAAAGCATTTTAATAAATATTTGGTTACTAATAAGAGAAAATCACAGCAATAAAATTTGTTGAAGATAAATAATTGTTGATGTTATTAGGAAAAACTTTGTAATTTCAGAGTTAAAACACTACATTATTTATTTTCTTTTTTAATTAATTAGCTTAAATTTTACAGTTGGTAATTCTGCAATAGTCTTGTATATCTGCGTAAGAATCTTCCATAATAGTTTAAGTGGTGAAATTTCATATGATATAACTGAACAAATTTTGTAAAACTCTAATGCAGAATAGAATTTTTTTATTTATTAGTATTATCAACTGACACTTTGATGGAAGCCACTTGCTAATCAACAAACAAGTTCATCTGTTCTTTGAGAAATTACTTAGTAGGAAAATATTAAATAATATTCAAACTACATCTTGCAATTCAGTTCTTATTAATAACTTCTTAGTTTGTATTTATAAGGGATCTGAATTCAAGAGCAACAATGTTGTTGTAACCTTTATAGCTAGATCATTGTAAGGTTTGTGTGGTTTTTGGGCCTTTCACAAGAGAAATGATCTTACAGGTTTGAAACTAAACTGTTTTGGGAACTGACAGTTACTTTAACACCTGTCATACAATCCAGCCTAGCAATTTGATGTGGATGAAAAAAATTTAATAATTCCAGAAAGTTTTGGGTTGTTTAGATGACAAAAAGAAGACATTTGTCACTATTTTTGAGGTCTGGGTTGCTGGGCCAGACCTGTGACCTGACCCAAAACCATGAGAGCCAATATAGAGAAGTTACTTGTAAATATAGAGTAAAATGATATAGCAATGAAGCATGCTTGAATTGTTCTAGACATGGTTGTGAGTGTGATGGTTTAAGTGTAGCAATTAAGTCAAACTGTGGGTCCAGGTCAGATGATGGAAGAAGTTATCTGAAGATATCCCAATCGATTTGACATACCAGCTGAATTGGAGATTCGCCAATTGATTACGGCACTAACAGCAAAACATAAAAAAATGGGCAAAATAGTATTGTTATTTTCAAAAAAGGGGGATTGGAATAACATAAAAGAAATCATTAGTTTCAATATTTTGTAAAACTAATGGTACAGTAAAGCCCAAATATGCAGTGTTGAAGTTGAAGCAGATTCACAATGCATTACAAGATGATTTCCTTAACAATTCTCAAAGTAGAAATGCCATTTCTGAAATGAAGACTCAAAAGTAAATATAAGAAGGAAGGTATAATGCCCAGTATGGTACCACTATGGTATAATCCACATAGATTTCATCCTGTCATATTTTCATTAATATATTTGTTTTTAATTTTAGAAGTTGTGCCACTTTTCATTCATAGAGATCTCTCAAAATAACCCTAAATCACCAGTTTCCAAAGTGACCACCCTGTTGTCCATCCTAGGTTCAGTACTAAAAGGTGCCAGTCATGCTAGCATATAAATAAATGATTCCCAAGTTCCATGCCCTTAGTAGAAGTAACTAGCCAACTGACATGAATTTTCAGGGAGGGTTGTGCTTATGATTTCATATTTTTGAATACAGTAACAACTTTTAGATTTATTATAAGAATCTATGAGTAAAAGCAAAGGAGAAATTATAATTTTTCTATACTGAAAATATATTTCTGACAGGTACTTATTTCCACTCACATGCATAGCTATTCTTGTTCAGTGCTGCCCTCTATTTGCAAAAAAAAACTTTTGCATGCCACAAGCCTTTCACTCTCCACACGTAGGGCCAGGGGGTGGTGGAGAGACCGGGGATGTGTTCACACTGGAGACAGTGTAATGGATGACCACAAAACCCTATTTTGAAATGCAGGCCAAATCCGATTTCTTCAATCTAAGGAATGGCAAGGATGGGCAGCAATCCCCTTCTGCTTTACCCATTAAGTCCATGGGTTAGTACGGTCCAGAACGGGCATATTTATGAAGCAAATATATCGCAAGGAATAACCTACGAGTGATCTTGTGGAACACTCCATCTCTAATTTATGGAATTATAATGAACAGTGTGCATTTTGTAGCTATGAAAATTTTGAAAGTTAAGTCAACATGGCCTTACAGTGTGGGTTTTGTTTGGACAATTATAAGAGATTGAAGTATATCTGGACAGGCATCATTCACCACGTAGCAGGATCTCGGTTGAGATATGGTACCCCCACTTGAAGCTTGTGTAAATGTGCTGTTAGAAGGTATAACCTCCAAAGTAGTAACTTGAACTTTGGAATTCATAATTCAAAATGAATAACCAAACACAACTGTCTTGGTAAAAAGAAATGAAAAAGTTTATAATTAATGACTAAGTTTTGTAACTGGGTAGAAATGTAAAATAATTCCACTTCAGAATAAATTAAAAATTAGTATTATTCGATAACAGATAGTAAACTCGATAAGATTTTAAAAACTTGAAGAGAGCACAAACTAAACATCCAAACACAAGCACTGCGAAACAAGAAGTGACAGTTGGGAAGAATAGCATGGGAGTCAAATGAGTGTGTGGCACTTCTACTGGTGGAGGTTTATCTCATGATAGTTTGCATGCGAGAATCAGTTAAACCATGTGAATTGAGGGGTGCGTGGGAGTGAAAAGCCTGTGGCCTGCGAAACAAATTTTTGCAAGTAAAAGGCAGCACTGAACGATAGTAGCTATGTATGTAAGCAGAAGTAAGGTACCTTGTCGGAATATGTTTAACATGTCAACCACACTACAAATGCCATACCCAGTGCCCACAAGGCCTTTCACCCAGTACCAGGGCTCATCAGGCCAGCTGGAATACAACAGTCTAGGTATTACTTTATTTGCAGGTCATTCAAGCACAGCTTCACCACATATGTTTGTGATAATAACATTTTCTAATATGAAATGAAAAAAAAAGTTTAAAAACTGAAATACCACTTACATATGCTGTGTTCACTTGCTATTTTAAACTAGGTTGCAAACAGCTACTGGAAAAAGCTTACTGATCAATTAACATTGTTTTTTCCAGTAAATGATATGCTTTTGTTTTTAAATAATTTTGACCATTGTATATATACAGTCAAACAGTTGGACTGCTATATAATACTGAATAACAAATTTGAAGAAATGTCATAACATTATTCACATACCTAAATTAACTTAGGTTACTATGTTATGAAGTAAAACAGACACGAAACCCCATAGAAATTTTGACCATTGTTTACAACTGTCTGAATATTCATAATCGTTTCTGGATTACGACCTGGCAAAAAAAAAAAACTGCCAGCACTTCTTGATGGTTATTGGTTAAACATTACAACACACTGGCTTTTTGCCAGCTAGTGAATGTTAATTTTGAGCTCTGATATCAAATTGATTATTAGAGTTAACAGAAATCCATATGCAGAAATGCTCTTTGGTAAAATTATTTGCCATTTAGTTATCAATTTGTAGGATGGATTTTCCAAATGCTGTTTACATAGTTAGCATAAAATCTTTAACAAATTTGTTAGTTAAGTACGTGAGTATATAGAACTACATTTTGTTTGGATGTAGCTGCTTGTTTTAACAGTTAATTTAGAAATGACTCCATGGGCTGAATGACCTTCTGCCACTTTTCTGTTTCTTACACAAAGTTTATAAGTCTGGAACTGTCCAAACACAGGAGTCACAATGTCTCTCAAAGAGTCATCAATCAAAGAATGGTGTAATTTGGAGAATAATTGTTGGTCTTAGAATACATAAGTTTCAAAAATGGGTATTAGGATGATTTAAAATTATACAGTTCTGTCATTTATTAGCATGTACAATACTGTTGTGAGTACTATTCAAGTCAAACAATGTCCTTCAAGCACAATGTAAATACCATACCTTACCTGCAACACACTTCTTGAGGATCTACCCATAACGTTAACTCAGATGGAAGTTTCAAGTCTTCGTACTTCAGACCACACTGCTGAGCTGCTCTCTGAAGAATTGGATCTCTACGTTCAGTTTCATTTACACGAATACATCGGTATGCTTGTCCTTTACAAGGCTTTTCTGGAAACCAATGGTTTTGAAACCGTTCCATAAGCAGATCATTTAAGTGATTTTTAAATTCTTCTACTTTAGCATTATTTAGGTTTAGGTTTTTCTCCACAAGACGGATTAAGAATGTTACTGCAGCAGATATTTCATCCTTCATTTTGTAGCTTGTCCAGATGGTGTCAAGTGTGAATGGAAAAAGAGGAACATGTACACGATTCAGTAGACCTAACAAATCTTAGTGCAAGATATAATTCTTGTAGTAGCCAGGTACTTTAATAAACACAAAGTATACCATAAACCTGTACAAAAACAAATAACATTGAATATTAGTACACTTAAAAAATTATTTTGAGATGAAAAAAACAATAAACTATGAAATGATTTAACTAACTCAAACAAATTAAAACCACCTATAAATTTAAATCTTTGTTAAGGAACAGTTGGTATGGCTCAGTGAACATTCAATTTTTGAGATTACATTTTCTTATAAAATGAATCAATCTCAATCATTTTTAACAAAAAATTAAACTGTTTAAAAAAATTTTGTTTTATAATATGGGTAATTAAGTATACCTGTTTCATGAAAGATACTTTCTCATATAATTACAAAATTAATCTTCATATACAAGAAGAGTAAGAAATTTTCTCATGTATTAAGGAAATTAATTTTCATATGGACAAACATTTTTGTATGGTAACATCTCACCTATAAAAAAAAAGCAAACAATAATAATTACAATAGATCCATGTTAAATAAAGTCCTGCAGCACATTCCCACACTGTACCTATTCAATAAAATTTTGACAAATAACATAGTAATAACACACACTACTAGGTAAACCATTCCATCACTCAGAACTCTAACTGTGAAAACATTCTGTCAAAAACAAAACATTTAAGAAGTTCATATTTCTGATTTTTTCTTCTTACTACACAAACAACCCCTAACAATTCTGAACACGAATCAAGCTTCCTTTAATTATTCTACATTATTGCTGATCTTAGAACTTCGGTTACCATGTGGTGAAATAAAACGGACTCAAAACCCATAGAAGTTTTGACCACTCTTTACAATTGTCTGAATATTCATAATCATATCTGGATTAACACCTGGCAAAAAAAAAAAAAGCTGCCAGTACTGTTCAAGCCAAACAATGTCCTTCATGCTCAATGTAAATACCATACCTTACCTGCAATACACTTCTTGAGGATACACCCATAATGTTAACTCGTTTGTCTCATGATAGTTTGCATGTGAGAATCAGTTAAACCACTGACCATTTCTTGTATATATAAATATACCATCATTAAACAGTTGGACTGCTATATATTATTGAATAATGAATTGGAAAAAATGTAGTAACATTATATTCAAATTATAGACTTTATAGGTTTTTCTCAGCAGAACATTTTGTCTTTTAAGCAAGTCATTATTTACCATAGGAGTTGGTAATATTTTGCTGATAAGTCAAAATGTTTTTTAGTGAAAATCTTTCTGGCCTATACAACAGAAAAGTTGAAATCTGAAAGTAATTATTTAGATTGAACCATGTATTTCTTCATCTACAGTACTACTTAAGTTGAATTGTTGTGTATATCTATTTATAAATTTGGCAGTAATAATAAATAATTAGTATAACTGTTTATATTAGAACACAACATTACCAAACCAAATAAAGTTGTTACAAACTGACTTAAATGATTCAATATCTTCCAAAAATAAGGTATCCATATTATAGGGACATGCAGAGCAAATAGTATTTGTCAAAAATAAGTTTGTGATGTTGCATTAAGTTGCTTAACTCTTTTCAGCATGGGCTTGGTCCCTGGGACCAACCTCATAACCATTTTGTGCTTCTTATAGTTTTCATGGTATAACTTTTAAATTAGTATGCGAATGTTAACAAATTTTTGCAGATTATCAGTAAACATTACAATGCTTTTATACGCAAAATATCAGATTTTTTAAATTAAGTCTTAAGGTTCGTAAAGCAATGTTTTTCTCATGTTTGTTTCTTTCTTTTCACATGTTGCCTACCTATCATGCAAAGTAACATTCATTTTAAGATTAAAAATACTTTTATTCACCAAAAATTTTCAAATTTACATGCAAAATCTATATAATGTCCAGATAGTTATTAAACCTTTCTTAAGAAAAAAACTTTATATTTTATTTGTTATTTTCACTAAAGAATCTCTGTATGGGTTTGGTAGATTTGCTAGCAATAAAATAAGTACAGAAAATAAGTGTGAAAATATGAGAAGTGTAACTATGATTATAAATACTTTGAAATTTTGTGATCAATACTAACAATACTATATATTTTCTTTTGCATTTGCAACCTTTATTTTCATTATACTTTGATTACTTACCTACAACCTAGAAAATCAAAAGTATAATGTTACAATTAGGAAAATAACAGATAAAATATAAAGCTTTACTAAAAATAAAAATCTTTGACATTTAATTACAAGGTTTTTTATTTTTCATTTATTTTCACTATTTCTTATTATAATAGTAACTAAAATGTAAAAAATAGAAACTTATTAGGTAACATAATGAAAGAAAAATAATAAAAATCTTCAAGGGGTATATGCGCCAGCAGCTTGTGCATTATGCTGTTCAATAAGGTAACGTGAGCTGCATGTGTGCCATGTGATTTTCTACTTGTGTCAGGGTATTTTTAGTCAAAAATGGTTAAAAGGTCAATAAAACAAAAATTAGTAAATATAAATAAATGTATACTGCTACAAGATTTAGGCTATTTAGAATAAACTTTTGTAGTTTCCTGTTGCAATATGCAATTATTCTAGAACAAAAAAAAGGTAATTTATGTCTATTACTTAATTTTTATGATGGTTATGAAGTCAGTCAAATCACCTAATACCATATAGAGTTAACACTTATAAAATAACAGATTAAATATAAAGTTTTATTCAAAAAAAACATTTGATGATTATCTACAAGGATATAGAGATTACACAAATGAAACTTGACAATTTTCAGATAAAGAAAATTATTTTAAATCTTAAAATCAAAGTTACTTTCACATTGGATAGTCAACATTCTGAAAAAAAAAATTCAAGAGCAAATATTTGATAAAAAATCTTATTACTTAATTTAAAAACCTGATATTTTGTGTATGACAGCCTTGTATTGTTTACTAATAATCTACAAAATTTTGTAAAGATATGCACACATTATCAAAAATTATTGGTTAATTCCTCTCTTGGATACTTTTGTGGTTACAAGCTGGTGGATCCCACCCAGCCCATATTTATACAGTTAAACAAAGGTTTGAGGCTTTTATCAATCATCAAATGGTCACACCCAAATCTTTCTCACTCTCCACAACACAAATAATATTTCTCCCAAACAAAAAATTAAGGTTCTATCTGGAGGAATTTTTAATTTTAAAACAAAAATATTATCATACCCTTATAAAAAATTTGACAAAGCCTCATCTGGAATACTATATGCAGTTTTGGTCCTTTTATTATGGGAAGAATATTAATATGCCTAGTTTAAGTAAATGAAGTTAAAAGGAGTTGATCAAAGATTATAGCCTGTTTTTTCGAGAATAAGAATAATCAGAGTTGACATAATTCAAGTGTTCAAAGCTGTGATGTGGATTTAAAGTCTTTTTACCAGTGATCTGCCTGAGTGGACAAATAATGTTGCTGGAAGTATAAATATGAATATTAAGAGTAATAAGTATAAATTTTGGATCCCCCAGTGCAGATTTGTTTCTGCAAAATTACTTTTTTGGTTAAGCTTATGGAATAGTTTGCCTAAAGATGTAATCTGTGCTGTTATTCTAAGTTATTTAAAGTTTTGATGGATAGGTAACGCATATAAATATGGAGGGCTACATTTAATTTAGATTTGATCGTTTGTTTAATAGATGAGGACTGACCTCAATAATGCCAGTATTATTCTGTTAGCTTACATTTTCTTCTTTTCAGTAATAACTAGTAAGTATTATGATATTAATTAATAACTATAAATTTTAAGACTTACTAAACTTAAAGCTACAGATACAGGTGTACTGAAGTCAGTGAACAATTAACAGCTTTCTCTATGTCCTCCCAAATAATAAATCATTATTGCTTAGAACACAGGATTTACATGCATGTGAGATAAGTGGTAGGCAGAAAACTCACTTCCTCTTCCATTCCCAGTATGTAGAATATAGTTGCTCTTGCAAAATACTCATATTTATATTGAGGTTTACTGATGGTGAACACCAAAAATAAGGGTGTTATCATACGTGGTCTCTTTAGAGTTAGAGGACAATCTGAGGTATACAACAAAAGCTAAATTTTGACAAGAAAGGGGATCCAGTTACCAAATCCATAAAGTTATGTACTGGCAAGAGCAGATGACCAGACACAGTGTTTGGGTCCACATATAGTTACTTCATCATCACCATTGATCACTATAATGGTGAAGCTCCAGAAACCTTCAAATCTGTGGAGGCTTAAAACTACTTTTTGAATGGGCATCACTGTTTATGTTCACATGGGCATTGTGACACATCACTCAAATTCATCAGCAAAATGGCAACACTAAGCATTGTCATTGGTCAACATTTTTATTTAATAATTCCTTTATGTCATTTTTATTATTATTGGTGTTTGGATATACTAGGCCTCAATACGGAGTCAGTGAGAGCTAATTACTACAGGAACTTTTATCTGACAACTCAACAACAATATGATTTTAAGTGTTGCAGGTGACCAGGTTCCAGTTACTGATCCCTTTGCTGTTAGAGATTGCAGGTCCGATAATGCTAATAAGTGGCCAAATACCGGTTTGGTGAAATTATTTAATCAACAGTCCTAGGCCTGAAACATTCAATCAGTCAAGCAAGAAGGCCTATAAATCATTGGATGTTTATAACTATTTTGTAAATAGTCATGTAAATTGTAAGCCAAGAGCTGCTGTGTACTTATGGTATTATGCTGTGGAGTCAGTTTTCTCAGTATGTATTATGAAAGTCAGTTTCCCTTGTCAGCAAATGCCAACAAGTGTCATGAAGCCTGAATAATAATAATAAAAACAATGGGGAGATCATTTCCATAAAATTAACATGTCTTGCATAGTAAACATTTATATATACAAGGTGTTCAAAAAGTCTGCAACTATAAGCACTTCAAAGAATTTTACAGATTGTGTTCCATATGTTGTTCTTGCAAGTCGAAACAAGTTTCAATTAACAGCCAAATTAACTCGACCTTCTAATGCTTTGACAACACCATAATCGGTCATGTATCTGAAATTAAGAAAAGCTGCAACTCACCTATGATTCCAAACTTTTTGGACACCCTGTATAAAATTTGCTTCATAGGCCCATATAACAAGGTATATTACACATACTCCACACCTTTTTCCTTGTGTGTAGCTTTGAAATGTTTTCTTGTTTATATTTGTCACCACAGCAAGGTCAAATACAATGATATTGTTAAAATATACAATAGGCACATACTACCCTAAAATCACACAGCTGCTAATACTGATTTAAGTTTTTGTCTACGAGTTTTCTATACGTATGAAAAAATACCTAAGTGTACGACATCATAGTGATTTTTTATATTTACAAATAATAACATCTGAATGACACTTACACAATAGTCAACATCACAAAGGAACTAATGAAACACAAAATATCATCTCAAAACATATTCCAAGGTACATCAAATTGACAACACTTTTAGTCTCGCACCTATTTTGTTTTAATTTTAAACACAAGAACAAAAATATTTTCTTTTTTTTATGAACTATATTTATATATCACACCTTTAGTTAACGGTTAACCTAAAGTCTATATGAAATTACATAAATCTCAACATTTTGCCTTATATTTATAAATAGTAGAAACCAACATTCTATGATAAGTACATGTTATTTATAATAAGTATTTTAACTTTGTACCATAACTCGAATTATAAATAATGACGACGCCCCCTTACGGTTTACACCCACTGTTCAATGTGTAACTGTAACTTGCAAGTTAACAATTTCATTTCCGTATGTTTAGCCTAATCAGGCCTAGCTTGCACCAAGATTGAACTTACTACGGTGTTTTAATAATAACTAAGTAACGTAAAAAACATAAGCATAAAAAAATAGAGGCAATCTTTTTAACTTACCAACAAATAAATAACTTGTGAAATAACCATGCACGGAATACAAAGACTGATGAAATGGTTTCTTAATACAAATATAACATTCACGTCACTTCTTAATTATTCCTACATCTCACTCAGAAAAAACAAATAACAACGATGAAAGTTATTGGGCAAGTAATATGCCAACATATTACTCCAATCACGTTTTACTATTATGGTGATGTCAGAATTATTTAACAGGTTTGTTTATTTATTTCATAGTAAAAGCTCAAAATGAAATAATTTCACTTAGTTTATTGCTGGTTGGTAATTTTTTTTTCGTCAGACTGACAACCAGATATTACACTCAAGTTTCTTTTCTAGTGTACACATATCTATTGCCTATAATTGTTTAAACCATTATTTTTAAATATCAAATAATACAACTAAGATTCATAACTTTTTTTTCGTATGACAGTGACTTCAATACTTATCCTTCCTTTATTTTGTTTTTTATTTATTTATTTTATTTTTAACTCTCTAAATGATTCTGAAAACCAAAAGATAATTGTGCATACCTTAGTAATATTTTTAGTAGGCTGTATATAAGTAATAAGTAACACTGCTGTTAATGAAAAAAGAAGCAGAACATTTCTTTCTAAAATAACCTAGTAAGTAAACATAAAATAAAGTATGCTACGACTTGAATTATTCAGCAATAGTTTAATGCTTATTACACTTATAAGTCATTGGTTTGTGCAACGAGGGTACAGATCCACTTTTAAAACAGTTCGCAACAATTTTTCTCTGTTGGCTTTGTTATAAGTAAAAGTCCTTAAAAGTAGCCCCCTCCTCCCAGTGGCAGAGCGGTATGTCTGCGAACTTACAATGCTAGAATCCGGGTTTCGATACCCGTGGCGGCCGAGCACAGATAGCCCATTTTGTAGCTTTCTGCTCAATTACAAACAAACAAACCTTAGAATTGTTTTATTCGATTTTGAATATGACTATTTTGTGATTCTTTTATTGGCTTTTTTTTTATCCTTCGAATAAAACTCGGCATTGAAAAAGAGTTAGTAAAAAAAAAGCATATCATAACCTCCCCCTCCCCCCACCCCCGGTGGCTCAGCGGTAAATCTCAAGGCTTATTATTACGCATAATAAACAGGTTCCGATACCTGTGGTGAGCATAATACAGATAGTCCACTGTGTAGCTTTTCAACTGACGACAAATAAACAGAATTTCTGATAAAATTCATTAAAATATTAATATTGTTTGCGTCAGCGAGGTCACGTGACTAGTATCACGCCACGTCCTTCTCGAACCTTCG